AAACAGTAAATAAATAAAAATTGTTTCCATTTTATGGCCTGCTATATTTTCCAAGTATTCCACTCCACATTTGATTTAATCCATTTCCAATTTGTATCTTTATTAAGATAAGTTTCTTAGGAACTATGTTCAACATAAAAATTGACTAATACATTGATTGTTAGGGTATTTGATATTCGCTGTCAGCTCAAAGACTTTTGCTTTTGTTGTTACCACTTCATTAAAGGCTAAGGCTAAGCGGGTCTGGAGCTGCATATAAATACACATACAGAGAGACACATAGATATATCTGTGCGCATATATCTTTTACTTTCATTTGCTTTTCCAAATAATTTTGCCATTTTCATCAGGCGGCAGGCTGCGTCGGTGGTGCTGGTGGTGTTGCCGCTGGTTGTAACTGAGGCAGAGGCCAACTCAATGTCGCTGATCATGAACATGACACAATATTATGGATTATGAGTCGCCTGTGGCTGTTTTGTTGTTGTTGTTGTTGCTTGCCTGTGTGTGTGTGTTTGTCTGCCCGGGAAATTGGTGTGGCAAAAAAAAAAAAGGCAAGAAAAGATACGTTTTTGCTTATCTCATTTTTGTAGTTCATAATTTACGGTTTATTTATGAGTTGTCATGTTGCTTGCGACGTGTTGCGGCGGCACACATTGTCAAGTTCAAGGTGTCCTTTTGGGCGCCTGGCGTTTAGATCACTTTGATATTTATGAGTTTATGCAGAAAATTGTCTCGATTGTTTTTTTTATGTCCTGTCTTCACAGTTCCCACAGGGCCCACACACACACTCACAGACTCACACGTACAGGGAGAGAGCAGGATTCGATGGGAAGGCGAATACTTTCACACGTTATTAATGAATGGCTGTGGTTTCTTCACTCAGAACATTTTTTGGGAATTTGGTAAGCAAAAACGTTGTCAGAAACTGGGCAAGATGAGAAATCTTACTTATTTCAAAACTGCTTCGGTAAATCACGAAGCTTACAATTCTAAAAGTTGAATTGTTTAACATTTTACAATAGCCATATAATAAAAATATGTCAATGTTATTTTTGGTTAAATTAGAGCTTGATTTTTTGGAGTAAGATATTTAGTTATTTCCTATCTTTCTTATCTTAAAATATATAAACACTTGAAATATGTTAATATATTTTTGAAATCAAAAACTTGATAGTTTGTTATTTTAATTATTTTGGATTTTTAAATAAGGAATACAAATCATACCTAAAAAAAATAAGTTATAATGATTTCAACTTGAAATATAAACACAAAAATAATATGACAGATATATTATAAATTTTTATAAATATGAAATAGAAACTAAGACAGCTTGAATCAACAATTGAAGTACTTAAATTAAGGAACTGAAAGTCTTACATTTGATTATTGTACGAATTCTTAATTATCGTTGAAATCAAGACTATAACAATCTAATATTTATTTAAAAAATGAATATTAAATAATATTTAAAGAATATTATGGAATTTTGTGCACGCGGCACTTTTTTCTTTGAGTGTTGTTTTTTGGCCAATTGCAGGGACATTCAATACATGCATCCTTGAACTTCCTTGAGATGAGGGCAGCTGTGTGTCCTCCCGACCTCTTCCGGCTGGTTAGGCACATGGGAGCAGTTTCGAGCCAAGATTTTCGGCTAAGCTTTCAGCCAGCCAATTGGCTATCAAATAACTTTAAGGCGGCAGCTGCTGCTGCTGCTGATGTTGCTGCTGTTGCTGCTGCTGCTACTCGGTTTGCTCTTTGGCTGCTGTGCTGGCCAATTCACACGCTCGTGGGCGCATCCCATGGCTGGCAATTCAGTTCAGGCCAAATTGGCTAACAATCTTTTTGTGTTTTTTTGTTGTTGCTTGTTTGTTGTTGTTGCCACTTTTTGCAAGCGGTTGTGGTTGGTGCAATCATTGGATTAATTTTAATATGTCCATGGCTATAAAGCGTTTACGTCCAGCTCAATCTGTGCTCGGCCTGCTGCATCTATGATTATGGTTTCACCGGCAATCGACTCGACGTTGCCTACTAATACACACACACACACACTTCTCTCTGTGTACATGTGTATGTGTGTGACTCTATACATACATAAATGTAGCAACGTTTGGTTGCCAGCTTGGCTGCTGGAATTGCGACCTCTTTGGGAGCGTTATTGCCGCTGCTGCTGCTGCTGTTGCTGCTGTTGCAGTTGCAGTTGCTGTTGCTGTTGCTGCTGCTGTTGTAGCTGGTTACGAAACCCCAAGAAAAACTTCCGCATTCATTTAAGATCATTTCTGTCGTTGGCTGCTTCAAGTGGTTGTTGTTGCTGGCTGCTGCCGGTGCAGATTTGCAACAGCAACAGCAACAGCCCCCCCTCATTTGGTGTTGCCTGTGTCTATGTGTGTATATGAGTGTGTGTCTGTGTGTGTGTATGTGTGTTGTTTGCTATTATTAATGCCACCGTCGCTGCCGTTGCTCCCGCATCCCACTTACTGTTGTTGTTTTTGTTGCTGTTGCTGTCTCTCCCATGCGCAGCGCGTCGCTGTTTTCGTGAATTTATGGATCAACATTGCATACCGCACGACAAGGAACCAACTGCTACCGGCAACAACAGCAACAACAACAAGTAGCAATAACAACTGGCAACAACAACCAGGCACAACAGCAACAGCTCTAAGCTGTAATAGCCCCAAACGTCTGCCAAGTGACAAGCACCAAAATTGACAAGGTGCCTGTTGTTGTTGTTGTTGCTGTTGTTGCAGTTGTTGTTTCACTCGTTGTTGTTGCAGTTGTCAAATCAATTGATTCGTCAGGATGCAAGTACAGGTAACACATACAAATGTGGAATTACGCATTTAATTGCAGAGCTGCAACATTTCAAGTTTTATACTTTCGATCGAATCTTAAGTTTTGTCTTTAATATAACTTAAATAAGGAATTTGTTTAGAAATAAATGTTATTAAGTTCAGAAGAAGGAATAAATAATTAACATTTTTAATATAAATTTTATGCAATTTGCATTTTAAAACTAACCTTTTATTCATATACAAAGTTATATATATATTATATAGATTTATATTAAATTTGATTTATCTGATAAAGTCATTAACTCGTCTTTTTAACTTATAAATTATACAGATTTTATTATGCTTTATTATGGCTTACTTTTAGATACTAATTATTAAGAAATAACTATTTTAATTTACAATTTTTTTATACAATCAAAAAACAGTACAAAATTCTTTATAATGACCTATTTTTATAATTGAAATGTGTATTTCTTTCCAATTTGCCAATGTACAATTTTAGCTTTCAATTAAATAGTGATATTAAAATAAAAAGTAATTCATTAATTACATTTCCAATTATTATTAAACGAAATAACAGTTGTGACTCCAATATTTAACAAGTTCGAGTAAGCTTCCGTCTGATCTGTAATCGCTCCTGAAAGTGGAGAACCACCTCACCCATTAGTCATTACAAGCATGCCCCCATCCCCCCCACTCTGCGTCCCGTTCGAACTGTGGCAGCTGTTGCTGCCATCCCGAAGCTGAAAACCAGTCCTGCCATAATCAGGTCATGCCTTGCCTTGTGGCCCGTTAACCAGCCAAGAGAAGAACAGTTCCAGGCAAAAAACGCCTTACCAATAAATTCGCACTAATGGCAAAATAAAAAAAAATATAAAAAGAAAAAGAATAACAAAAGAAGCAACAGTTTGCCGCACATCAATAATGAATACCGTTAGCTCCTCTTCAGCCGGAGTCAGAGTCAGAGCAAGAGCAAGATCATGGGGCAAGCTCACGGCAGGCATCTTGACCAAATGCAACTGGTTGCTTGGTTGTCATTGTCGAATGTGGAGGCATGCGTCAATAAATTACCTAGAAGCGCACCCAAGAGCGCTGTCAAGACCAAAGCCAAGAACAAAAAGAGCCACAGAGCCAACAAGCCGACAAACAGACAAATGGCCAAACGAACGGGGTAAACTGGCAACTGGCAACTGGCAACTGGCAACTGGCAAACGGGCAAACAGGCAAACTCGCAAACTGGCTAACTGGCTAACTGGCCAACGGTACATTATGCAATCACGGCATGAATGAGACACTCTTGACCGAGTTTCCATAGCCAGGCAATAACGGTAACGCAACGTAAGCGACAGCTGACAAGTGGCCTGTGCAGCAGAGGCACAAGCAGAGGCACATGCAGAGGCACTGGCTGCGGCAGCAGCAGCAGCAGCAGCAGCAGCAACTAACGGGTTCTTATAAGCTTTGCCTAAGCGAAATAGAAGAAATAAGCAAGAACCGCGAAGTGCATCCGAGCAAACTCAAAGTGAACTGCACTTGCCCCTTATGTAAAAGATACAATACACAAGAAGAAAAATTTGGCTACAACAAATAAAAGGGAAAAATGCAATATGCTTTTTTCGCAGAAGAAAAAAATTAACTTCCTCCTTTAAACCACTTCAAATCGAATAACTTGAAATGTAATGCATCACTTTCTTCACACAAAAAGAAAAAAAAAAAGTTAATAACAAAAAAAAAACCGTTTCTTCATTGAACGTATTAAATAAGATAAATATAACTTTTCGAAATAATAAAGTATTTTTAATATATTTTTTCGATTTACTTAAAATTAGCAAAATTGTTCTTTTTTAAGAATCCAGATTGTCAAAATAATTATAGTGAATTCAAAAAGTGGTTCGAAATACCAAATTTTAGATGATTTATTTCTTAATCTTTTTCCCTGTATTAGCTGGAATTCTTTTTAAATTCGAATTAGTTTTATTCGAGTCAATGCAATCATTTTGCTTAACTTGTTAAAGTTTAGCCAGGATTGTTTTAAATTTGTAATTCAATAAAAGCTATAACGAAAGCGGAAATAAGAAATAATATCCATAATTGTAGAGGAAGTCAAAAGCCAACGAATTAAATCTTGCAAGCGTAATAACTCTATTCAAAGTAATGGTTGCAGTAAGTCAGTGACTAATAATACATCTGGGGAATAATGATAATCAAGGGAAATTATAATACAATAGCTTTAGTTTATTCACTCTGACATTAAGAAATACATGCTTAGATGTATGTGTGATGCATACGGTGATTACAAAGAGTTGTATATGTGTAAGTACGGCGCTTTATTTATTGTTTAGTGTAGATTGAATCGCACCTAATCAATCAGATGGGTCTTGACCAGGGCAACAATTGGCGCTGCTGTTGGCATATTGGGATACTCGCCGGCACTGCCGGCAATGTCCAGATGGGTGTACTTCAGTGGCTTCTTCGAGTCGACGCCGTGTTTGTCCAGTCCGGTGACCTTGATCAGGAATGCAGCGGGCACTTGATGGCCACGTGGTGTCCTCACAGATGGTGCCGAATTTGACTGGACCACATCCTCGCCCAAGACCTTGGGGGCATTGAAGTCAAAGTCACATTGACGCAGCACAGAGACCTCGAAGGGTTCGCCATAGGTCTGGCCAGCGGCCTGCAGCTTGCGTGCATGATCCTCCTTGGCGGCGACACTATTGTCGACAATGATGGACTGACCCTCGCCAGCGGAAATGAAAGCATGACCCGTCAACGTGGCAATGGTAAAGATATGCGCATTCGGCAGATCTCTCTCAATGGCCATCTCCTTCATGCGGCACAGGACATCGGCCATGCACATTCTGCCTTCGGCATCGGTGTTGCCAATTCTTACACGAACACCAGCACGGGACGTTATGATCTCATCGGATACATAGCACTCCTCGCCAACGGAGTTGCGCACCATGCAAAGGGCGCCAATTACATGAATATCCTCGGGCTTCTGCTCACTGACCACATGCATGAAACCAGCAACGGCAGCAGCGCCACACTTGTCACGGGACATGCCCGCCATAACGCCGCCAGCCTTGATGTCAGCGCCACCAGTGTCGTAGGTGACTCCCTTGCCCACCAGCATCACAGTTTTTCTCGCCGGCTTGGGTGGCTTATACTCGAGGAATATGATGCGTCCCTGATGCCGCTCCACACAATTGGCAGCCCGATTGACGGCCTCAAAGAGCGGATACTCATTGCTGAGCACATCCACATCGCTGATCACCGTCACCGACAAATTGGCGAACAGTGGCTCGATGTACGCCTCCACAAGAGGTGGCGCCATGCGCTCCGGATCACCGCCACCAATGTCACGGGCAATGCGACGAGCCGACTCAAGGACCAGAGCATCCTTCATGATCTTTTCAGCATTGGGATTGTTAATCAGCACGGAGAGTGAACTAATGCGTTTCTTCTTCTCGGGCACTTCCTCGCGCAGTTGAATGGGCTGAAGAAGGGGAGCAAACGGTGGAGGTAAGCAAATTAGGGGTAGTTTATCAGATACATACCACATAGAGCTCCTCCAGGGCGCCAAGAACCGTACACAGTTCCACCTGCGAGAAGCGTTTGCTGTTGGGCACCACCAAAAGTGGCGCCTTAAATCCAGACTGTGAATCAAAAAAGAAAAGATGAGATGATTAGGATTACGCTTCAAACAGAATCTGATGTCTACCTTGATGGCTCGCTGAAGCGACTGGGCAGCTGCCTTCTGATAGCAGCGGACATCGTCATAGTCGGTTAACTCCTGCACCGGAGCATAGATCACAGGCAGACCGAGATTAGACTTGAAGCAGGAGACGACACTGTCGAAGGCCTTGTCATAGGAGCGATGCTCCTCAAAGACCTCAGCCAGCTCGTTGGGCACAGCACGATCGATGACGCAAAGGACATCGTGGCCAGACTTGGCCAAGATCTTGGACAAGGTAACCGTGCAGGGCAATAGCCTTGAAGGGGAGCAAAGTACAAACAATAAAATTAATAACTTTTATTGTCTACTGCAAATATGCTTACATAGTATATTTCTATATAATTGCCACAAACGGCAGTGGCAGCTAATTGAAATGCAATTTAAACACGTCGCCTGACAACTTTGAGTTGAGTATTTCAATTAGTTGTCGCAAAAGTTCACCCGATTAGTTATGTATGTATCTACCATATAAGTTAGTATTTATATTTATTTATATACTTTGTGCTACGTACTCGGAATACCAAGTAGAACTTTAATGAACCTGGTACCCATTAAACGTAGAACTTAAATTAAACTGATTTCCATTAAATGTACTGTTCTATTGACTAGAAACCCTTTCTGATTTAATTTTTGTATGCCTCAGTGAAATAAAATAATAATACAAATATTGTAGCTTAATGAAAACGATTTCATTTAGCGATGATGCAATAAAATCATCAAACACATTTTTTTGCCGTATAAAAATAAATTGGAGAATTTTAATTATGGAACCACAGTCATACAAACCATTTCTAACTGGAAACCCCCAGACTCTTTGAGAATACCACACATATAATGAAAATATATGTAAATAATTGGTCGCAGATTGAGTAATTATGTGACAACATTTTTTCTTTATACACTTGGGATAAATACAATTTTTAACGAGGCAAGAAAGATATAAAATAGTTAAAAAATCGACTTGTGAAATAAAAATACCCAATTTTTATTCTAGTTATAGTATGGAAATTCCATCCAGAAATATAAAAATTAGATACGAATTATAAAAAGCCACGAACTTTATCAGATGTATATAAATGCAGCAAACACTGTGTAATTTGTCCACCCCTTTCCGCCATATCAAGTCGGACTGATAGCATTACCCAAGAGTGAGATTATCTCAATTCTGAAGTGCAGTAAATAACTGCGATTGCGATAAGCTTGAGTAACGAAGGAGGCGCTATTAAATGTTCTTCAACTGTCGTTCATCGACACCTAATCTCAGACGCAAAAATAAAAAAGAGAAGAGAGCGAGAGCGAGAGAGAGAGAGAGAGAGAGAGAACTGTCCTTAAATACATATGCAACTTGATGTTACTTACTTCTCGAGTCCCATGTTGAAAGCGTTAAACGGTGGCAAGTACAACTGCAGCGGACGGCAAACGGACAGTCACTGAGCGTTGACAGATTGTTGTATATTGAAATAAAACAATGGAATTCTGGAATGGGTGACTGGAAATAACAAAAGCGATAAGGCACACTGATAGTGATAGATTTTTGTTTTGTGTTTGTTATTGAGAGGAACGGAGACTTCGCGTTGGCAACTGCACAAATTGTTGTGTTTTGCATGCAACTCAAACCAGTTGCCTTTTATAGCGAAGCGGCTCGCAATAGCTGCCCACGAACTATGAATAATCGTTGGAATGCTTTGTAATTGAAACTGTCCCTTGCACATAATAACAATAACAAAAGTGCAGTCGGCTTTTACTCACGTCGTTTTTTTTCTTTTTCTTACACACCACACAGAGCACAGAACAAACACACTTCAATCGGATGGCAATTCTCTTGCGAGTCACGTTCACGGCTAGTGTAAAAAGAGCGGCTAAGGTGAAAAACAGCTGATGGCCTCAAAATGCCGGTCAGCTGTTGTTAGCGTTGCCAACCACAATAAAATCAACTAAAGCGATGTATTTTAAATGTAAATAAAAGATTTGGAATTAATTATTTGTATTTTTCGTTTTAAAATAATTGAAAGTTTTGATTAGAAATCAAGGGACGATTGACAAAAATTATATTTTTTATATAACTTCTAAATCAAGAAATTAATAGCCTTAGTTTCGATCATAAAATGCTATTTTACATTTAGTGTACAATCTGTAATTGTACATTTTATTCGCCATTTATATAGCTCTGTACGTCTTTAATTAACTGCGGCAACTTGTTGGCATCCAGCGCCAAGAGTTTTCTGTAAGGAGTCATAATTGAATCGCCCTCGAGCCAATTACCAGCCATGCCCGAGTCGCATTCGGAGGCCACGGAATACTCGAAACTAAATTTGGCGCGCTCCGAGAGCAGCTCCTCCTCATCATTGGTATAGCTATCCTCCGAGGGTTTGCCCTTCTTGGCCTCCTTGCGATAGAACTTGACCAGTAGCAGCAATGTGCCGAAATCGAATTTCATTTTCTTGGCCTTGGCATCATCGATTTCCTGCTGCAAATTCTGCAGCAGCGGCACTGAGATTTGTGCGGGAATATTGATGAATCGCTCGTTGATCAGAAAGCCCACATGACGCTGCTCCTGATCGAGTAGCTCACGCAGCTGCTGCTGCACTTGCTCCGTCGCATGTTTCCCAGCTCGTTCGAGGAGATAGCTGCGTAGTTGACTTATGCTCGGCTGATCCTTTTTGGCAGTTAGATTCAGCACTGATGTGATGCCAAAAATGGTGCCATCTTCGACCATGTTGTCATCATCCGTTTCGTCATCCTCCTCGCACTGGCAAATCACGCTGCCCACATAATTTTGAGCTGCCAAAGAAATCGACTTAGATCAACTAAAGACCGACTGAAATAATTCACTTTTTACCTATGAGCAATTCGGCCATTTGGTTGCAGTTGATGTGTGCGCGCAGGAAGAGTCGCTGCAGCAGCTGTGAGATGCCCTGTGCATCTGGATCGACAGGCGCGCGACCCTCAAAATCAATTTGCACTTCCTGTTGCAATTATTAAGAATTTATTAGTAAATTTACTTTTACTGGTGCATATTAGTGCAACTACCTCATTGCCCTTGTACGCATCTGGATGCGATCCACCGTCGTCGTCGTCATCGTCATCGCTAGAGCTCGTTTCCTCATTATTTTTATCCACCTCCATTGTGTTTAAGTTTTTGCGTTTATTCGACGACATTTTCTGTGTTTGCTTTTGATATGCAGCTAAACAGCGGCAGTTGAAAACAGCTGTGTTAAGCACACACGTGTTGCGCGGCGTTGCCAGAAAATACGGAATTCGACTAGTTCTTGTGAACCGCGCTAATTTTATTCTTGTTTTGAGTTATTTATTATAAATTGTTACTTATAATTAATAATTGTTTGATTTAATCATGTTGCTGGCACTTCAATTTTGCTCAAATGCTCCTCATATTGTTGCTGTGTTAGTAGACTGGCCTTGATATCATCACAATTCTCGATTTTGGGCAACAAAATGGCAAAGTATCCCGCACCCTCAGGAACCGTTTCCAGTTGTTTGGCATCCGCAACGAGAGAAGTGTTCACTTCCACCAACTTTCCCCGTATGCAACTGGGAATTTTGTACACTTTGCCCGTTTCGGTTGTTAACAACGCCAGCGTTGTGTCCGCCTGCAAAATCATGCCGCCCTTTTTAGCCTTACCCTTGACCACATTCTGGCTGCGATCCACATTTCCCACATCATAACTAACTGAGGCAATTCCTTCGCCATAAGCCGGATGTGTCGACGCTAAACAGATGAGGCAAATGCGATTGGAGTGGTAGAGCACCTGGTAAGCAGCATCCGATTTGATATAGTAGTAGCGGGTAAAAAAGCGATCCACCACACTGGGATATTTCTCTTCGTAGCAATCGGTGATGGGGCTCACAAGCTGGCCACAAATCTCCTGCTTCTCCTGCTGAAAGTAGAAGGGTGCAAAGGGATCCTCCTCCGCCTGTGCATACATGGCTCCTTAGTTGGCCTGTTCACCACGCAGCAGTCTCTCCTTGTACTTGGCCTGATTCTCTCGGGCCCTGGCGCGATTTGCAGCGGATCGAGCAACTCTTTCTGATTTCAGGCACTTCACCACCTGATCGTCAATCGTATTGCAAACGCCGATAAATTTGGCAAAGGCGTTCTGAGCAAAAAAAAAAACTTCAATTAGCACTGAGAATAAATACATTTATTTTACTTACATTTTCGTGACAGGCTTTGAGTTGCTCAATTAGTATATTGCAGGCTGGTGTGTGCAAATGAGAGGCCAAATCCGTGTGCATCTTCAGTGGCTTAAGCACATTTATCTATATTTATTTATTTTCCCAGTCGTTGCTCTTACGCAAATGTATTTATCGCCAGCAGCTTTCGCTGTTATCGATATGCCGGCGATAAATTGGTTACCAAACAGCTGTTTCGGAAATACCAAAAAATACTTTTAAAGTAGCGGTTATTTTTTGGTATATAAATTTGAAATAGTTTCCTTTTCATGTATTTAAATGTATTTGCCTTTCAAAGCTGATAGAAAACACAGTTAAATAAGCTTTTATGTTTTTTTTTATCATTTATTTATTTGTGTATTTTACCCGCTCTCACAGTTGATTGTTACATATGTTCTCAGTTTTGTAACAGATATATAAAATATCCATATATTTATATTTCATGAACATATTTCGTATCTCTCACATGCCTTTATAGTCATATTTTTTTTTAGAAAAATTGATTTAACGTCTTCACTGTTTCACTTTTTTGCTACCAAAAAGTCTTATCAACTACATCATCGAAATAGGGTTTGCCTCAAAAAATAAACTAACTTGGTTTTTGTTTTGCTCAAACAATTTGTAAAAACACTGCTAAACTCTCAAAAATTTGTGCGCTGTTGCTGTCAACTATAAATAGATAAAAATGGTGTTTCTGTATTTTGAGGGGAGTCTAAAAGGTTTAAATAGTTAGATATCGTCAAAAGTTCGGATTTAATTTGCCTCATGCTACGTTCGCTAAGCTCAGTTAAAAATAAAAAGCTGATTTACTCTACTAAAACAAAAGACTCAACACTATTATCTCTCTGCTAAATAATTCTGTTTGTGTTTGTATGTTTGTGTTTGTGTTTACGCTCTCATTTGTGCATTAGTTTTCTCTCATAAAGCTCTCAGTTCGGTTATATTATTATAATAGGTATTCAAAATTAAAATGTTGCAACTCAGATGAAAAATAAATAAAGTTTCCTAAAGGTTCATGTTTGACCTTATATCAAATAACAAAGATGAAGAAAAGAAAACACTCTCCAAAAGCAAAATTATTGTTCTCATTTGTCTTACGCTGTTGTTGTTGTTGTTTTTGTTATGGCTGTTATTGTTATTGTTATTGTTGCTTTGGTTTCTTTGTGTTCGTCAGTAAGTAACAAGGATGTTAACAATAGTTTTGCTCTCATTTGTGGCTCCTGGGTGTTTCCTTCAATCTCTTTCTCTCTCGCTCTCTATTGTTCGTTCTCTCTCTTTTTCTCTCTATCGCTCTCCAGTTAATTGTCTCCAGACGTTTGCCGTGTTCTCTCCATCTATCATTAAAACAAACTAAATGGCAGGTTTAGTCCTTAAAAGGAGCCAACACCTCAACTCGTCTTCTTCGGCTCCGTTTGAACGTGTCCAGGACTCGAGGCCTGTTCCTGTGCCTGTGCTTGCGCCTGTGCCTCAATTCCGGCCAGCGCAGCCTCCGACATTTTCTTGTACTTGCCAGCCAACTCGGGCATCTCGTACGCAATGGCCAAGTCGAGTTTGGTAATTGGACAGCCCCGGAAATAGGTGCAAGTATCCCTGAGTTTCTTGAACTCGTACAGCGGATTCAAACGGAAGAAGTCGCGATATACTTCGGGATCGGGCAAGTCATAACGCGAGATATTGGTCAGCGTTGAAAGACCCTCATAGATGTGATAGTTCTGCGGATGATCAATGATGTCATCTGCGATGCGCTTCTTGTTGCCAAACAGCGTCTTGTGATTGTAGAACGTGTTCAAATAGCAGTCAACCATCTTGGCATGATTACGCACACGCACCTGCAAATAGATAGAATGGTAATAAAAATAGAATTACTTTTGTAATTACAGCTCTCGACTATGGCTATGCCTGGCCACAGGAAACTTTGAAGTTATGCGAATGAACACGCAAAATTGTATTTCATAGTCAAAGGGTATTTTCCAGCACATCATCAACTTCAAGTTTTGTTAGGTCTGCGTATGGATTATCAATTTGTCAGTTAGGCAGTCAATCAGTCAGTCAGTTAGTGTTTGATATATATTTTGGAACTGAAAGGTTACTCACGGCGAAGCGTCGGGCGCTGGCGATCTTGTGCTCGATACGCTTATCGATGGCTGTGCGAAGATCGCGCAGGAAGGCACGCTCCTGGGCGGCAAGGAGGCGAGCTGGTGCGCCATCCTGATACGGATGCGTCCACAGCGATGTGGTGTACATGAGTGGCGGCTGAGCGGAGGACATCAGTGGCGAGATGTTCCAAATGAGGGCACCCTGGACGCGCAACAGCTCTTCGGGCTTAACAGTGTCCGCCTTGTTCAAAATGATGCGCGTTTGATATTCGCGACCCTTGAGCTGATCGAGGATGGCCTCGGTCTCTGGGCCGACATCCAACTTGGCTGGGTCGTATACCAGAAAGATGATGTCGGCACGATCGATAAACCACTGGCAGGCATCGTTGAAGGGGAAGACGCGAGATACTTGCTTGCGTACCTCGAGTATGCCAGGTATCTCAACGATGTTGACCTGAAAAATACAAAAACCAAATACAAAAATTACAAATTCATTTGGCATATGCACACATCGCATTCAATTTGGCCCATTGTCTTTGGCTATTTTCGAGGCATTTAGTTTCGTTAATAACCAAATACTATAAATGCTGCCTATTTTTCGGGCAATGTGCCAAAAAATAAAAACAGTTTCCCAATCCGTCGAGCTGCCCTGCCAAAAGCTATTTGGGAGACAAGTTAATGCACTTAACAACCAAGTACATATGTATTCAAAAACATATAATACCTTTTCAAGCAGCTTGCTCTTCATTTTTAAGCCACGCAGACGCTCCTCCAAACCCTGGCCAAATTTCTGCAGACCAGCGAATGTATAATCGGCAGCCAGTTGAGTGCCATCCAAAACTTCCGTCTCATTGCCCCACATTAAAATGTTGAAGTAGGCCGGAGATGGTTCAGCTCCTAAAGTCAAACAAACAATTATATCATATTGTTATTAGCATTCTTTCTCTCAAACTTACCGGTTCTCAACGAGTTGGGCGTGTATTCGTTGTCAGTCAAATAGTTGAGAATGGATGATTTACCACCCGACCAGGGACCCATGAATAGAATCAATGGCTTGGAGAAGATCTCGGGATCACTGAAGTGGCGATTGCTCAAGTCACGGTACTTGTACAAAGTCTCCAGTGGCTTGACGGCATTCTCATAGATTTTCTTAATGTCGCGCAAGATAATCTCTGCGACATTATCGGTGGCCTTCTCCCGGGCATTGAACTCCTCGTCTAACTGTAGAAGTTCTGAGATGTGTTGACGACTGCGACGATTCTCTGGGATTGCACCTTCCTGAAAAAAGAGTGTAGACTTTAATGATACCCCTCTATTTGATCTGTAGTGAACCTACCCAGAGCAATTCGTCTTCTGGCATGGTGTCATCGTCGTCATCGTCAGCAGCAACAGCTGTTTCTTGTGGTTCATCCTGAGCCACTTCGATTTCTTTGACTTCCACGGATGCTTCCACTTCTGGCTCAACGGCTTCCTCTTCAGCGGCAACTGGCTCGGGCTCGGGCTCCTCCTCCTTCACTTCTTCCTCTTCTTCCACTTCTGGCTCAGCTTCAACTTCAGCCTCAGCAGTTTCCACCTCCTTGGAAGCTTCCTCTTCAGCGGGGAATTCCTCAGCTGGACTTGCAGGCTCCTCAACTTGTACAACAGGAGCAGCGTCCACCTCACGCTTGCTGCGTTTCTTCACCTCTTCTTCATCAATGTCCACTTCGTGGCTATCATCATGAACATTGGGTATTCCATCACCATCCATGTCGTTATCATGCACATTCAAGATGCCATCGCCGTCCATATCCTCGTCCTTCTCGTTGACCTTGTTATCCCCATCGATGTCATCGTCCAAAGCATTTGGCACACCATCGCCATCGATGTCCATGCTCTGAGGCTCTTCGGAATTGGATAAGCCATCACCATCGACGTCGTGATCTTCATCATTACGGACACCATCGCCATCTATGTCACTGTCCTCTGAAATCATTGAGAATCATAAAAACATTTTAGACTAATAGGATGGTTTTTTTCGACTTTATTTTACTCACCATGGTTAAGGGTACCATCTCCATCAATGTCTTCATCCTCTGCTCATGTTAAGATAGAACATTAAAGAGTGTTGAAAATTCATCAATGATTGACTTACCATGATTGGCTTTGCCATCCCCATCCAAATCTTCGTCCTTCTCATTCGGCAAACCATCGCCATCCAAATCGCTGTCCTCTACAATCGGGAACATGTTACAAGTGAGTTAAATTATTACAATTCATGTTTAATTAATCGAAATAAAATCAACAAATGAAATCATTAGCTTAAAAATGTTTAAAAACAAGAATTTAAGTTAAACAAATTGGGCTTCAAACATTTCTTTAGGGGACTTTGAGCATACCGTGATTTAGAGTACCATCTCCGTCGATATCATCGTCCTCTGCATGAGAGAGTATCCTTGTATTGCTTATATTTATGATATTTTTAATTACTCACCATGATTAGCTTTTCCATCTCCATCCAAGTCCTCGTCTTTTTCGTTAAGCAAACCATCGCCATCCAAATCGCTGTCCTCTGTCCAAATGAAAAATCCCAATCAAATTATAGACATATGCATTTATTTTCCAGCGCTAAAGCGTCACCTTCATTTGGTATTCCATCGCCATCAATGTCATCGTCCTTTTCATTGTGAATACCATCGCCGTCAATGTCGTCGTCATCTTCATTAGGAATACCATCGCCATCGATGTCGTCATCCTCATCGTTGGGTATGCCATCACCATCGATGTCATCGTCCTCCTCATTTGGAATACCATCACCATCGATATCATCGTCCTTCTCATTTGGTATGCCATCGCCATCGATATCGTCGTCATCTTCATTGGGAATGCCATCGCCATCGATGTCGTCGTCCTCATCGTTCGGTATGCCATCACCATCAATATCATCGTCCTTCTCATTTGGTATGCCATCGCCATCGATATCGTCATCCTCATCATTTGGTATGCCATCGCCATCTATGTCGTCGTCCTGATCATCTGGTATGCCATCGCCGTCAATGTCGTTGACGCCTTTCGCGTCCTCTGTGGAATCCACATCAGAAATTTCTACAGTTTCTTTTTCATCATCATTCCCACCATCATCATCATCATCATCGTCATCATCCCTACGAGGCTGATCGGCTTGTACTTCTCCAGAGCCACTCGTGACACCATCTACAGGTACCACTTGATCATATATGCGATCTTATATATACCATTTTTCTTTTTGTGTACAACTTACCGGTTTTTAGTTCATTTATTGCCTTTTCAATGTAGGGTCGACATTCTGATTCGCTTGGTCCGACATCGGCATTGGCAAACCCAACTGGAAGCCATTAGCAAATTAAATGGGTGAATGGGTAAATAATATTTAACATGTCTTTTTATATTTTTTTAATTATTCTTTTTACTTAAAATACTTAGATTTTGATGGCAACAAAAATTATAGTAACTTGGTTTTATTGTATATACAAATGATTTCCTTAAGCTAAAAATATATTCTTATAGAAGGGTATTATTTCTACAATGAACAACATTGAAGTTCTCATTCCTTATCTCCGATTTATCAGCTTTTAAAATATCATTTTTTAGCTGTGCGTGTAAAATGAATTTTGGAAAAGTTTGAAAATCAATTTAAACATTTTTATTTTTGTACAAGTCCTGAAGGTTTAATTTTATTATTTCGTGCTTGATGTTAGCGCCGAGGTCATTTTATCTTTTCAAACTTGACATTATTTATTGTATATACCATTGGACACACACACACACACACGCATAGGCACACACACGTAGGCACACCATGAAATATGTTCGGCAATTTATGAATTTTATTTTTAAAAGATGAAAATTCAAACACACATTTGCTCTGGTCGCTGTTAGATTGTGGCAAATGTGAATGGGCGTGTATATATTCTGTTTTGTTGGTCACTCGCCCACTATATTTTACTTTTCCATCCATACTCGCTGTACTCGCTGTTTAGTGACGTGAGTGCATATATATTATATAAGTAAAATTTACTTTTACATTTAGTGTTCTTTTTTTTCTTCTTTTTGTACTCGCCTTTGAGTGACAGGTGTGGACTTAAGGTCGTTGCTAATTACTTTCTCGATTGCAGACAGCTGCGATTATTCATGTATAACTATAGATATCGAGGCATATGAATAGAAGCTAGATATATATATGTATATAATTGAAGTACAATATGTTTGTTCGATGTGCAATGTAGCTGTCAGCGGGTAATTCTCTTGATTTATTTCCGTGAATTTATTTGCGAGTATGGGAAGCTATTTAAGTTATTTCAAATCTCATTCCTATCCGCATAAACAGCATTATTTATACGGTGTGTTTGAGATGACTGCTTGCATATTGTGTTTATGTTGCTTGCAACCAATCTTATATATACACATTTATATATTGCATAGATAGTTTCTCTGTGATTTGAATTTATTTTCTTTTCTGCAAGCCAAACAAAATCCACAGAGGAATATAAGTTTTACGGGGCTCTGCTCAGAAACAGATACAGGCTACAGCAGGCTACGAATACAGTCTCAGATACAGATACTTGCTCAATACATAAAATAACTTAAGAATTCTAAATTTAAAAATATTACAAACGATGACAAGAAGAGCGACCAAAATCTGCCGAACAAAATTTTGAGAAAAGCAAAAAGCAAAAAACAAAAAGAAAAAACAAAAACAACACCAAGCTGAAGAAAGTGACCAACAAAATTGTGTTTGTCTACGTATTTGTGCAGCTGCCAATGTATTTGTATTATCCAACGAGTCTAGGCCAAAATTTTAAGATAGTATATTCTCAAAGTGTCGTCTCTGACGTTTGAACACACACACACACACACACACACACACACACACATACACAGCCACACGCACACACATACGCACTGAGCTGTGGCAAATATTTTTAAATATATGCTTAGATATATATATATATATATATATATTTTAATTTTTTTTCTCATTTCTCTATTTGTTATAAAAATTGCATAATGCCTTTGCGCTACGTTGAGATATGCGGGAATATTTAAATAGTGTCAACTACTTATATAAAGAGATCCTGGCGACACACTCACCATTATTGGATACGGCGATTAACGTCAGTCCCAGCAGGAACCAAATTGTTAGTCGCCCCATAATAATCAAATCCACAAATTATCCTTGAGTTTTCCCAGTTTGATTTAGCACCTTAGCCACGTCATAAATTCTCCTTTTATTCTTTCGAATTTTTCCCGTAATTATGTATAATTAGGAAAAAATTAATAAATCACTTGCTCTCGTATAATCGCATATATATATATATCCACAATATATGCGCTCGTTTAAATGCACTGCGTATGAAAGGGTAAAAATTTTAAATGCTACAGATTATTTTCTCACATATCAATATATATATATATATATGTATGTACTAAAGCATATGCCGAATTATTAGCTATATACTATGTGCACAACATATATATATAGAAATACTAGAAATATCTAATTAGACCCGTACAAATTTGTTACACTTTTTGTGGGTTTTTAGAATTTTGCACTTGTTCGTATTTTTGTCACTTTGCAGTTCGTTTATTTATTATTAAAATAATTTTTCAAAATTCGCGATAAACTGATTTATAATTCTTTTTTTTTTTGTATTTTTATTTAATTTTATTTATTAATTTTTTTTGCAAGCCCTTATTTGCAAAATTTTAACCAACAATCGTCGGCTGGGTAATCCTTAGTGTCCCTTTCGACGATTGTCAGCTAAATAATTTGCTTATTCTTGGCCCGTCGTCTTCGCACGTTGTGTGCGTTTCGTTTTTTGAATTTTAGCTATATATATATTTTTTCTGGCTATTGGCTAAAAAAGCAAAATAGAACTGTTCAGAAATGTAATGAAAATGTATTATGTGGCGTACACGAGTATACGAGACGATCTCTCCCGGTCCAAAACCAATTCGTAACTCAACATGCATATACCATGAATTTACCTTGTGACCGCGAAAATTATTTCATTTTGATATTTTTGTAGCAAAAAAAAACTTTGTCAAAAGCACTGCGACGAGTAAACCTATCTCTTTTTTTTTTTGCCGATGCTCTCAGAGAGAATGCCCCAGAGAGGGAGCAACCAAATATTTTATTTGGGGAAAATTAAAAAGCCGGAGAAAATTGTGCCGCGTTCTAAATGCTGCAATAAATATAGGTATGTTAAAGATACGGCAGTATTTAGTACAGGACTTTAGTTACTATCGAGATATATGCATTCAATAATTAGCCTCTTATTATTATACTGTAACCATTTTCAGCAGATGTAAATGGAGGTATGAATATTACTTCCACAGAATTATCAAATTAAAAACTATTAAAATAAATACAAAAGCTACGTCAAACAAATATAAGCTGATTAATGATCCTTAAATAACGCAGAGTTCTCTTATTCTCCAAAGAACTTTGTTTGGAATACCCGCGTTTAATTATAGCCAAAGATTTGCTCATTTTAAATATACGCGCAGAAGTGTTGGTTCAAGAGCAACAATAATAGCAAATAAATTTTGTTTCGCCTGGCTGGCATATTTACCCCACAAATATCTTGAGTACTCACAGCATAGACCATATGTAATATTCAACGATTTATTTCGTGTCACAAATGATTAAACTTGATGCAATATCTTACTCTTTGACCGCCCCTCCCCCCTGTGGTGCTCCGCGGACACTCAGTTGTAAAATGTGAAAATATATCTGTGTATATAGCATATTCATGTCGCATTTATCACCGTTCATTAATATGCTTGATTGCACGAACAGCTGTTGTTTGGTCGGTTGCTTGACTGTGTGTCTGTGTGTGTTGTTTATGTGTTGTGTGTGTGGTCGCAGACAAGTGCAACATTATGCTTTACGTCTCCTGAGATTAAATATTTTTATAGAACTGTGACAGGTAACGAACGGCGCTGGGACAATTTTATAAAATGTTGAATGTGCTTTTGGAACTGGCTCAATTGAAAGGTGCTTTCAATTTCATCAAGGCTCTTTACTTCAATCAAAAGAGGATGTTTAATTATTATAAATTCTATTTAGCTGACATTAGAATCATTAAATATAGTTCGATAGAGGTGAAATTCCCGAATCTCAGGCACCATGTTTCTTCTCTGCAGATATGATTGAGCTGGAGGGGTTTTCGCCTGTTGCTTTTGTGCCCCTAAAAGTATGGGACTTTTTTTTAGCTTAATACAGACCAATTGGCAAAAATAATTTCATAAAAGTTTTCCGCTTTTCCAGTGCCTTATTTCAAAGTTGTGTAGTTCCAGTAAGAAGGCAGTATAAACGGGAATCTCAGATACGCCTCGGATTACTCTTGTAGATCGGAGGTAGGCGGATGATGAACGTATGATGATGTGTCTCTCTCTTAAATGGTGAGTCAAGTTTTCATACAAGAACTCATATTTTGAACTATGATTTCCAAAGCAGCTATATGATATAGTGATTCGATCTATCCGGCTCATTAATTGCAAAGTTTTATGTGGATGTATATTTTTATTGTTTTCGTCTGGCGAAAGTAAATGTTATTTGAATTTATGATTTGTCGAAGCTATTAAATTATAAATACTTGAAAGCTAAGACATATCACTCACTCTCACTGAGCACTCTAAAAATAGTTTATTAATAAATAGGTATTAAAATATATCTGTGTGAAAAATGGGTCTAGTGGGTCTCATTATCACGCGCTCTCTTCTTAAGGCGGGTGCAATAATACCGATCATTATTCTCAATCCAATCGCAGACATTCAGAACGGTATGAAAAGCGGTGCCTTCTTTGCACTCAAACTCAACAGGCTTGCCATGCACGCAGCGCAAATACTGGAAGATATAGCAATAGATAGAGTATTTCAAATATGTACACTTTAAGTTTCTTTTTTAGCTTACCTTTCGGCAATCGGGATGCGGCACAAAGTCGCGATTGGTGCAATCAATTTCGCTGGGATCAAATGCAATTCCTGTCGCTGCAGTTGGCTCGGGATCTACAATTGACTCGGGCTCTTCGGTGACCTCGGGAGCAGTTGTTGTTGTCGTCGTGGTCGTTCTTGCAGTTGTTGTCTTCTTTGGCTTTTTTTAATGTAAATTTAAAAAATGACTCACTTTTAAATACACTTAAAATAAGCATTTACTTGCAGAAAAACTGCTTTTAAAATTGTTAAGTATTTTTGAAAATGCAGAAAAGATACACTAACATTATAAATAATAAGAATTCGACTTTTCAGAAATTTGGTTAGTAAATTTATAAAATATTTTTTAAAAAGAACTTTGAGTTTTTTTTAGTGTATCTACTCACCTTTGTAGTGGATCTCTTGGTGGTGCTGCTTGCAGTTGGCAACGGCACTTGCGTTGGTCTTGCCGTTGGTCTTGGCGTTGGTCGTGGCGGCGGTTTCGGTTTACGCGTCGACGTCGTCGGTAGCAGTGGTCCGACGCTGCCCTGCTCGTCGGGATTCGGTGGCGTAGCGGGTGGCTTGGCCCATTCGGGCTGCATATTCGCAAAATGAGCTCATTAGCATTCACTCGCTCAATTGGCACTGTGACAACTTACCCGCGGCGTTGTCTCACGCGTCGGCTCTGGCACCCGGTATTGCCGCATATTGTTGTACAGTATCTGCATTAGGGCATTCTTTGGCCCACACAAACCATGAAAGTCGTCCATGTCAATTGCCCAGGTCATTGCACCCGCGTAGCCCTTCTCCTTGATGAAGTCCATTTTGAGCTGCACCGAGGCCTCGTTCTCGTAGCCCACCCACTGGGTGTCCTTGTAGGTGTAGGGCACCATGCCCTCCTCATCCCACTCGACCGTCCAGCCCTTGGATTTGTCCATCACCTCCGTGCATATCTCATAGTAAGCCAAGAAGCCACTTGCATTCGTATAGGGTCCTGGGGCACCACCACCCGCCTCCTTGTTGATGTACGTGCCCATGTTGTAGTTCTTGTTGGAGCTGCTCAGCGTAAACGTGCGTCCATAGAATGGGACACCCACCACCAACTTGTTGGCAGGACAACCCATCTCCTCCCACAGCGCCAAGCCGTCATTCTAAATGATATGCATACTAATTAGCTTGCCAAGCAACTCGATTATCTCTCATTGTCTCCATCTCTCTCTCTCTCTCTCTCTCTCTCGCTCTCTCTTTGTCTCTCTCCGCTATACACTTACCACATTGAGGCGCTCGTAGGCATACTGATCGTGTTTGCGTTTATATAGCGGACTGTGCACATCTGCGAAGCCAGCCCAGTTGCCGCGCAGGTCATAGGTCATCGCGTGTATGGCATCCAACTGTCTGTAAATCAAATGCAAATTGATAACAACATATTTATAATAATAGTACAAAATTAAATTATTATAATAATACCCGACTGGACACTCTATTTTGAATTCTCTTAATACATGCTTATAAATAGAGTTACTCAAATTCATAACTCACATCAGGTGAGCTTGAAAAGTAAACAGCAATAAAATCTAAATTCATTTCTATATGAGTCAGTTTGCAAATTGAAAGGAGCATGATTACACTTTTATCTAGATGGTTTTGACAGCTTGGAAGACAAAGGTTAGTTCGAAGTCTCTTGAAATTACCTTCGAACTATTTTAACTGCAGTGACTACAATGACAAAAAGTTGATCTGAATTTCTTATTGGCATTTTAAACGTGGCTTTCAATTTAGATAAGTTAAACATTCTACACACTTAATACACATTATAGGGTATATAGATTTTTGTTTACTCACTCGCACAACTCTGGCACATGATAGCCCTCCTGCAGTCTAAACTTGGCCACTGGCACCGCCATCGTGATTTCCCAGCCGCGTCCTTCACGATCAAAAGCGCGACGCAATTCTTGGACAAAGTAGAGGAATTTATCCTTGTCGCCAAAGCTGCCGCCACGATCCGTCGCACCCGGATACTCCCAGTCGAGATCGAAGCCATCGAAGTCGTACTTCTTCATGAACTGCACCACGCTGCGTATGAAACTCTGACGACGTTCGCGCACCGCCGACATTTGCGAATACTTCGAACCACCCTCGGCCCAGCCGCCGACAGCTATTTGCAGCTTGAGATTGGGATGCGTTTCACGCAGCTGCGTGAATTTTCGGAAGCCCTCCTGATTCACATCCAGCTCCTCATCAATAACCAAAACATTCCAGCTCTTGTCATTCAACCCAATGAAGGAGTAAACGAGATGCGTACACAGATCAGCGGGCACATCTTCCAGACCATAGCGTCCAATGCCCGGACGATAAACAGCCCAGTTGCTAAAGTAGCAAACAATCCGTGCAGGCTGCTCCTTGCCCAAGATTAGGCTGGGCAAGGCCAGAAGCAACAACAATGGCAACAGCATGTGATGATTTTGCACTGGGAATATAACAAAGCATTTACAAAACAAACGAATAGCTTACAATTTGTTTATGAAATAAAATTGAAAATATTTTTTGAAAAGTCACAAAAACCATATTTATCTATATATATATATATATATATATATATATATATATACATGTTATATTTATTTTATTTGCTTTTTATTTTGCTGTCAATGAAAAAAGAACCGTGGAATACATTTTTTATTTACAAGCAATTAAAAAGTTCACAAATATAATGTTTTATTATTTATATTGTATCAAAAAAATAGATATATTTTTTAGTGGCACCAATAAATGTGAACAGATTGCTATTTGAGAGAGTTCGTATAGAAATGATAATAAATATGAATTCGAATTGAGTTCTTTCTCTTTTGCAGTAGCTAAAATTGGTGAAAATACGAATTATTTGCGCTCGCTGGAACGGAGCTATTTGGCTTAAAAATTTAAAATAATGCGGCTCCCTAAAAGGTAGTAACAATGTTATGACTTGTTTTTCGAGATCCACGCGACACGCATACATAAATAAATTGTGAGGCATGACGAAAACAAAAGCTTTTTGGATGCACTTGCGACTTTTGTACTTAATTTATTGGGCCTGCTAAGGTTATGTGTCCATAATGCAGCCCCAAAGTCTACAAATGTTTGAGTTCGTTCACCGTTTTGTATTTAACACTTGCTTAATATGCACGGCGAGGCTTACCCATTTCTTAGTGCCTTTAAAAACACAAACGCGGCACTCTCGATGCGATTCAGCGAATTGGAGCTGGATACGAAACCGACTACCGACTACCGACTACCGGCGACCGACGAACGACGACTTGAGGCGACGCTCGTTTGGCGTCAAATGACAGTCAAAGTATCGGACTGAGTTTCTTTTATACAATCTAGTGGGAGGCGTTGTGGTCCGGTTCTTGGAACGCGCCTCTTTGTTCCTGGCCAAGTGCGTGAGACGCGCAGATTTCTTATTGTTGCTGTTGTTAATGTTATTGTTTTTGCTGTTGTTTTGCTTTGGCTTCTGTGCTCAATTCCAGATCTGTCGACTTTCTTTCGTTTTTTATGAGGTTTATTTTCGGTTTTTGTTTTGCATTCGCGTTTTATGTTCCCCTCGTCAAAGTGATATTGTTTATGATCTAGTTAAAACCATGCATAAAAACCCGTTTTAAGTTCAACTCCCGTTGCTCAATCCTGGCATTCGAAAGTTCGTCCAGGCAAAACGGACAAAGGGGTTCGATGGCCTCCCTGCAGCTTCTTAGCCTCTTTGTAAGTAATAAATGGATCAGATAACTTGGCTAAGATAACGTTCTTAATGCAGCTTGGATGTGCACTCCAATAAAAGAGAGTATAATTGAGAAAAACTTACAAAATAAATACGGGATTAAACCAAAAATGTAGAAAGAAAGTGGTCTACAATCAGACAACATTTTTATAAATATATGTATAATTTTAAAGATATTATTATTTCTTTTTGGAATTTATGTAAATAATCTTTTTCATGTGTATTCTATTTTCTTTGCAGGTAATTGCTTACTGATTGAAGATTTTTGTAGTGGAAAGTGAAAAACGTATTTTTTTCGAGTGTAAACTTAAATGCAAAGACTAACTTAATCCCGACCACTGCGAAGGTCAATTAAAAGTGGCTCCTCTGTGGTTGTTGTGGTTGTTGGTGTTGTTGTTGTTGTTGTTGTTGTTACAGGTATTCTTGTTGTTACTGGTAATCTTGTTGGTCCTTTTGTTGCTTTTGTTTTCCTTGTTATTGGTGTTCTTGTTGTTGTTGTTGTTGGTGGTGCTTCGGGCATTGGCTGAGAGTCCGGCTTATTTTCTATAAGCAAGGTAAAACATGTTATCATTTCAACTTTATCAAAAAAAAGCACTTAGGCTCACTTGGAAAGGGAGCCAGTGGTGTGGGCAAATATGTATTATATCTACCGCCACTGGGTCCATAGCCGAAGCCAAATGGGACTGGTGGTCGCGGATGCGGTCGCCAGTTGCCGAAGCCAAAGCCAAAGAAGGGTTGACGATATCTGTCATGGGAATGCCCATCGAAGTATCCATGGGAACGCCTACCAGAATGTCCATGGAAATGAGAATGTGAATCATCGTTCACATCACCATGTCCCCAGTCAGGCTCGTCCAACTCCTCGCTTGAATGTCCATGGGAGTATCCCTGCCAATGATCATCATGATGGCGACGCTGGCGCTTCAGTGCAGCAGCCCTCCGGACTGGCACTGATTCATCGAGCCGTAAATCCGGAGTTATATGACTGCAAGTAGTTAAGGCATTTAGCATTGTCCGCTATACAGCTCTGGACACAAATACAAACGCATTCTCCAAAGTGGGTGCAGCTAGAAGCAGCAATCCCTGCAGGCTTATCACAGCCAGCAGCGTCAACTGTGTGTTTGATGAATGCGAGTGCAGATAGAGAAGTGAGTAATGTACTAGAGTTTATCGGGCAACACACACAAATATATATATAGCACATTGGGAACTTACAATCGTTGTGCTGCCTGCTGCAGACATAATCTTAATATTTATTGTGTTTCCTATCGTTTGAACTAAACTTCACACCTCGACCAGACAATGCCAAGTGAAGTTAAGTTATAACGCGACTCAATGAATTCCGCACAATTAATATAGTCGACTTGGGTTTTTTTTCATTTCAATATGAATCGTTCACTCAGAGTTTGAGTGAATTTAATGCGCATCATCGTCGGACAACAACAATAGGTATAAGCCAATCAGGTTTGATGTAGTTTCAGGTTTTTGTCACATATGTATTATCCATACTTGTTATATACTCAAGTGCAAACATATCCATGTATTCAACTTAATAATTACATTCGTTAACGTATTATTTATTAACTGCTGGAGTAGTATTATAATTTTGGGTTCACTCTCACTGCACTACGACAAATTGTTATTAATACTGTCTACGTACATTTCTACATGATAGAAATCTCAAGAGCAAAAACAAACACCTGTCAAAAATGAATATATTCTTAATTTTCTAATTTATAATTTTTATTTGATTTTAGATGTGTTCGCGTGTTATGCTTTTTCTGCCCCCATGGTCACGATTATGCTAATCGAATAGAAGAATTTGATAACGCTGCTTTTTAGAAAGTTATTGAATGCTCCACATTTCGCATACAGCTTAACTTGACACAACACACTCCTCCAGTCTCCACCCTCCCCTCTGGTCAGATCAGCCCACTTGCTTCAACGCCCACTCACGCAACCTGAGCAGCTTGTGTGCTTCTCATTCTGCTCTGTTTTGCTTAATACCCTGTAATTATCAAATGGATCGAAAAAAGCGGGTGTATTACACTTAGCAAAGGCGGAAGGTATATATATTACAGACAGACAGAAACAACCGAGTTAACCGAGCAATATCAGTCTGTAAGTCGAACTATCTATCAGTTGACATCAGGGCGTCGAACACAACTAGCAGGAAACGTTTATAATCGGATAGAATATTTGAAAAGCCTCGTTGTTCCAGTAGCTGCAATTATCGTGAATTGAAATGCAGTGAAAGAATCGGTTTCAAAGGTCAACTTGCGACAAAAAGCCTATTACCTCCGTGATAAATCAATGACTTTAGCTGATGTCATAATGTAAGTAAATAATAAATGCATCATTCATTTTAAAGCTAATATACTTCCTATTTAAAACACATCAAATATGAAATGTCAAGTGTCAAGATTCAATTCGCTTGAATCTACGTAGACATGTGAGGTATTTGCGACCATTTATATAAAGAGTATCTGTTAGTCGATTACTCGTCGCCTCGAGCACACTCACTTGTTGCTCGATGGGCTTGTCAGTTTTGCGTTGTTCTGTTGTTGCTGTTGTTTTTGTTGTGGTTGTTGTCTTTTCAGTGGCGCACGTCTCAACCAGGCAGCCAGCCAGCCAGCCTTCTGAGTGCTTCATTGTGATTCATGCGAGGCGCTAGGTTTGTCATCGCTGCTCGTCTCTATTTTTAATAGAGCCCACATTGATCTTGAAATTTTGCTGACAATTGACGCAAGCAATTGTGATAACTGCTGACCAGTTGAATAGCCATTGAACAGAGAGACTCTTCCTGTTCCGTTCCGTTCCGCTGGTGCTGGTGCTAACAATAACAAATTCAGTTGTAACCGGGTGCAATAAATAATATTAAAATGCTGGATGGAATTTGAATTTTCAACTATATTCTTTATTGATAACATTTATCTCGTCTTTTCGCAGTTTTTTTTTTTTTATTTTCTCGTGTGTGATTTTTTTTCGTTTAAACATTTTTCATATAATGTCATATGTATATATGTAGGTGTTTATATATATGTATTTATGCAATAAATATTTTGTGTGATCATGTTCTGCAATAGTTGTGGGGAATATGCGTGCAATTCATAGTCGGATATAAGCCAGAACTAGCATATCAATTGACTTGGCTCGAACTAAGGTCAAACTTGTTTAAGCGACATTTACATATGTTCACATATAGCACCGCGAAATGTACAAATTATTTTTGTTTTGTATGATATATTATAATATAATCGAATGTAATCATAATTATAAAATAGAATTATATGTATTTATGTGAATATCAAGAACTTGGCGCAAATGAATGTACTAAAGAACTTAGCATTAAATAATAAACTTAAAACTTGTAACAAAATTAAAAATTAAGAACTTCATATTAACTTAAAATAGTTTTGTACAATTTGCTTTATCTTTTTATGTGTATATATATATATATGTTTATATATATATTTAACAATATATCGTTGTGTGTTTACTATATGCATATATTTTTTACGATATTTATGTATTTGTGTAGTAAATTGTGATTTTTTTTATAATAACTTTAAAAGTTATACAGACATTAACATTGAATTGCATTTGCGTATAATAGTATATCATTGACTTTGCATTGTTTAAAAACATTTATAATTCTTTTTATTCTTTTAATTTTTACTTTCCTTTTTTTTGTTTTTGCTTCCTTTGCGTGCTTTTGATAATTGCCTGGCTAATTGACCTATATTTAAATAATTGATTATATTTATAGTTATTTATCTGATTCAAACGCATGAGTAAACTAAAAATAATATATGCATATCCGTATTTTTAGTTTAACGTAGGGTCTCCTCTTCCACTCATTTTATCTGTCTTTAATACAATTTAATTATATTAAGCTTTAAATTGTGTTTTGTTGTGATAGGTACGTATTGAAATATTGCCAAGGTTGTGAAAATGCCCTTATTTGAGCTGACCCTCTTTTAAAATCGGGTATTGACTGTTTTTATTTATGTTTTATGTTAGTTCCTAACTACCATTGTGGTGCCCTTTTCTTGTTTTTCTTGTTGTTCTTCTTGTTGTTGTTGCTTTTGATTTGTGATCTTAAAAACTTGTTTGTATCAAATGCAATAATTGGCTTCAAAATTTGTATTTGACATATTGTTGTTCTTATGGTTTGGGGGAAAATGCGCTACTCTTCAAAAGTCAGTTTGTAAAAGTCTTTAGAGTTATTGTTTTTAGTTACCAACACATACACATAATAAGTTGGCTCCAATTTTCTGATATAATTCATGTACTTGTTCGAGAGCCTGCAACAAGTATTGATGCGTCGTAGTTAGAGTGCTAGTATATGTCTATATAGACCGATATGGTAGGACTATAGTACCAAGCGACGACAGTCAATAAACTGCTCTACCGACTACCCATGTCTGCTTCAGAGAACGTTGCTTTAACATTTGATGTAATTGCCATCGTTTATAATGATTATTAACACGCTTATTGATATGTTGCATCTTTATGTAGTATATATATATATATATATATATGTGTGTGTTGCATCTTTATGTAATACATATGTATATATACATATATATTTAATATAGGCATATGTATATACGTGAGTATGTAAGCATTAACAGTTTTTTTTTTATTTATTATTTTTCGCATTCCTAAAAATTCGTTAATTTATATATTGTTTTTGATATCTTTAAAATGCTCTTGCTTATCAGTCACTTAACAATTGATACGATTTTCGATTTAAATTTCGATTTTAAATTGTTTTTAGCAAAGTTTCTCTAGTTTGATTTTCGAAGATAAATGCAGCTGTTATTGTGCTTATTTATAGTATATAATCGCTTCTTTCGGTGTAGTTAGTTATTTGCCATACGCTTAACTGTAAAAATTATCGCGTTGTTGGTATAACGGCAGTGGTTCACTTGGCGATTCCGAGCGCCGCTCCTCATCGCTGCCCTGGCCCGATTTCCCATTGGCCGTCTTCGACATGGCTTTCTCTGCGGGTTAACAGAAAAACATACACAAAAAAGTTGTAATTAGTTCGAGTTCTTAATTGACGAATGCAGGCCAAGAACCTTCCCAAGCGTGCTGTAAAAGTTGGAGGAAAAAAGTCCGTAGATTGGAAACCATTTTGCAAGTTTGAATAAATACACATACATATATATTGTATATAAATATATGTTTTGTTTTATATAGATTGGTTTGTATATTGGGTTCTGTATGTTGTTAGTGTTGTTCTGGCTCTCTTGTTATTATTGTTGAGCTTATACTTACTCGTCTGTTGAGCGATTCTGCGCATTTTTGACTTTTGCGTGTGTTTTTTCTTTTTTTCGTTTGTCTTACGCAGTTTTTACAAGTGCACAAATTTTGTTAAGACATTAAGCATTGGCAAATTTCGCATTACACTGTCAACTTTGCTTCCCTTACAGATAATGCAGTAATTAATTACTATTGCAAGCTAATAGTTGCATTTCAATTACCCATTAAATTGCAGAATTTTAATAAGACTTTAAACTGTTTTTACCCCAAAATGTAACACTATTCAATTTAAATTACTCAATTACTTTATTCATCAGACTTTTATTGCGATTGGAAATTAATGCACTTCTAAATAAAATTTTAAATCTTCTAATAAATGTAATTTTTTCTTTACAGAAGCCCAACTTTAAAATGCTTTAAATTTAGTTGTTAAAATAATTAAATCTCTCTTTTTCTTACTCAATGTCTTCTTATTTTATACTTTCCCAATAGAAATTGCACTACAAAGTTGCTTTAAAATATTTATTTCAGTGCTATCTTTCTTTACAAAAAAGAGAAGAAGAAAAACCAAAAACTTAAATTGGTGTTCAGTTCGCTGCATTTTTGCATTATTGTGTTGGGTTGTGTTGGGTTTTTAGTTTGGTAGTGTATCTTTTACTATTGCTATTACTACAAGCGCGTGCTGATTAGTTGTGCCAATTCAAAGCTAATAAACTAAGCAAAGTTTTCCAAATTCAGCTGGTTATAGTTAGAGTAACTGCAAGTCACTTAGATATATATATTTATATTGTTTTATATACGAGTATAATTGTAATAAATGTGTACAAACCTTGACTTACGCATTTGTATAACTGTTGTTTAACTTTTGTGCTTGTTGTAGTTGTTGTTGTTGTTGTTGGTTGTACTTGTTGTAGTTGTTGCAATTGCTTTGTTGTTGTTGTTGTTGTCGTTTAGTATTTTGTGATTGCATTGAACTGATTTTAATTTTCTTTTTTTTCTGTGAGCTTAGCATGCGATAATCTCAACGTCGCGTGAGTTCTTGCTGTGCTATTGTTGTTTTTGTTTTTGTTGTTGTTGTTGTGCTTGTATGTAGTATGTACTTGTTGTTGTTGTTGTTATTGTTGCTGTTGTTGTTGTTGTTGCTGTTCTTATTGTGTAGCTTTAGGTGTTGCATATGCATATGTAATAGTTGCTTACATAACATATATCGAACCTAGTCAACATTTTGTGGCCCATTTTGCAACTCAAAAGTGAACGAATTAAATGCCAGACAAACATAACACAAAATGTGAACAATAAATTAACAAAAACATAAACGACACGACAAGCTAAGTTTGAGTTAGTTTTGACTAGTGGGATTGCCTAAAAGTATGCAAAAAAAATAAATAAATAATAAGAAAAATTAAAATTATAAATGAAACAAATACAAATTGTAAGTTTGATTTAATAATATAAAACACAAACAATCAGTAAACTGTATTTAATAAATATTGTCAACATGAAGTTTAACATTAACGGTAATGCACGGCGTATGCGTAATATTTTTGTATAATAAATTTTTCAATTCATTGAATTTAAACCTTGATGTGATTTAGTTAAAGATACACATGAATCAGGTGCTATATGCATGAAGGGGCTATGTGGGGCTTGTCTTTATCGTCTGGGAGTGTGAAATTGACTGTGGAAATGTGTTGCGAGTGTGTTTTGGGTGTGTGAGTGGTAATTTATATGAATTTCGAAGGCCTTTCTTGATGAGCTCGCAAATGAGATGAGAATGAGCGGGTAGGGTACTGAATAAAGGGCGTAACACTTTGTGGATGTTATGCATATGATATGTACTCATTAATCGTCTAGAAAATTAGAAAAAGTTGAGAGAGAATATATATATTTATAGATTAGAAGAGCATAGAGACAGTTTCGAATGGGAGGATCACAGTCTTATGTTTCTCGCTGATATGATTCAAATACACTGAATAAACTCTTAGATAGTTATACAAAGATACATATATATATATATATATATAAATAGATATGGGTGTGGTGTGAACAGAAAACGATTTGGAGCACATTATTTATTAGTAATGAACATAAACATAAACAAGGAACGAAAACTCAACTTGCAAGCATTTTGAGTACAATCCGAATACTTAACAAAAATATATTTTGGACATCGATTCGAACTTAATTCAAATGTTTTTCAATATGTTTAAATAAGAGTAGAGCAAACAGTATACATATTTCATTTACATACCTGCAACAATTTTGCTGACTTGCATCACTTGTTGGGCCAAAATCTGATTGAGCTGCAGCAAGTGCTCGCGTTGCTTCTTCTCCGCTGTGATCTTGCTCGCTGGCAGAGTCTCGTTCTCCTGCAATATGGTTAATAACAGGTAATAGTAACAAACAACCACTAAATATTCTCTATAGATATTTTTGACAACTGCTTACATTGCTGCTAATGGGCGCTTCAGCTAGCATTTTCTTAATGGACTCAACCTTCTCCTGGCGACGCTTCTTCTCCTCTGGCGACAGCTCGGGCGTCTGTTGTGTTTTAGAATGTCATAAATAAATGTCAAACAAAAAATTATATTGTTTTCCACTTACTGTTTCTGGTATGTAACGCTCGGGTATGACTATTTTGTTGGGCGCCAATAGCAAGTTGTCAATGGTATTCTCCGAGATCTTCTCGCCCTGACCCAAGGCTGAGCGCACCACATCGGGCGCATTTATGCGTGGACGCAACGCCACCTCCATGTCCAGATCATCTCGTGCACGCCAATTGGTATTCTGCAATAGATAATATAAATAAATTTATCAGTTCAGTTATGAATAACTAATTGTATTTTGCTGAGTTTTGGAATCAAAAAATTGTTCAAAAATTAAGAACAAAATAAGTTTCCTTAATACAAAATTGCAAATAATTTTCACCATCAAAAAGAAGCTTACATTTCGATTCATGTCATTCTCTGCCTGCACCTTCTCCATTGCCTTCTGGTTGACATTGTTGGGTGCCGTATAGTGTCGTCGCTTCTCGCGCGGCACAGCTCGTCGATGCTTGTGATGCGGTGGTGGGACACGCTCCACAATCTTTTCAGTATCCTCCGAGGCGGAACCGGCGGACATTTCGTTGATGATCTGACGTGCAGCGACACTCTGGAACACTGGCTCCGGGCTAATGTCCGTCAAGCTCTTGTTCAAGCTCTGCATCGAGTCTGTCTTGGTGCGCAGAGCGACTCTGGCGCTGTCCCGGGCAGGATGTGCCTGCTGCTGCAGCTGCTTGGCAAAATACGCATTGGCCAAGGGATTCAGATGCTCCCGTTGCTCCCGCTGATGCTGCTGCTGCTGCTGCTGCTGCTGATGATGATGATGGTGGTGGTGGCCATTGCTTTGTGGTGCTGGCGGTGGCGGTGCCTGATGTTGCTCATAGTTGCTATTGCGATCGTAGTCGTTGACGCCATTATAGTGGTGTCCATTCTGTTTACCATTCATGTGCCTGCTGTGCCTGGACTTTGGAGGTTCGCTGTAGTTGCGCGGCAGCGACTTGGAACGATTGTGGTGTCCATTGGTCATTGGCTCCTCCATGCTGTGAGCATACTGCTGCTGCTGCTGTTGAGCATATTGCTCCTCCTCCAGCACTTGATCCAGATTCTGGGTAGAGTTGCTCAATCCTCGCTCGCTGCGATCACGATGCCGACGCTCCGATTCGCGCTTGACAATGCGCACCGTTTTGATCTCCTGCTTCTCGAGATTGCTCAGATTGGCAAAGGGATTGCTGTCCAGAAAACCATCGCTATCGACGCCACTCATCTCCAGGGCATCGCTGCTGCCATTATAGCGATTATAGTCACCCAACTTGGCCGAGCTATTGGTGTCCACATAGAGTGGTGTCGATAGATTCAAAGTGGAATCATTTAAATGCTGTTGACTGCCATTGTGCATCATATTGGCATCCAGATCGGTCTCTGTCCAGCTGGTGGAGTTGCTTCGTTTCTTCAGACTACCATTGGTGGTGCCTCCGCCTCCGTTAGTTGGACTCAATTCCTTGTTGCCAATCTCCTGATACAAACGCGTCGAGTTCTCCGTCAACTGACGCACTGCGGAGCTGAGATCATGTCGCTGCCTCTGCATATCCCCAACCAGAGATTGAACACGCTCCAACTCAGACTGGAGTACAGCAGCTGTCTGATTGCCATTCAATTGTGAGGCATCATTGCTGACGCCATTGCTCCGAGCTGCCTGCACCTTCTGGCGGAGTGTCAACAGCTCCTGCTCCAAACGCGCATTGCCCGCAACAGTCTGCTCCAGTTTCTGTGAGGGATTACAATGCGAATTAGTTCGATGTGTTCAATATGTTATTGGTGGCACATGCAGCAATTGCAGCAGTTACAACTGATTGAGGCGGACTGTAGAAGTCTTTTGCATTTTAAGCTATACTTCAAAGCTGAATGGAGTTCGATTCTAAATTGTTGCGATTATTTTTTTGATAAGATCTAGATTTGAATCGCTTGTGCAGATTAAGTATCACAAATCGATACTACAGTTTCAGTAGTTGTATAGAGTTCGGAACATTTTAATTATTAATCAATTCATATTTTTCTAAAGGTAAGGATTTAGTTTTTGACTTTGACTTTAATTCAAAAGAAGTCAATATAATTTTTCGCCTATGCTGCATATTTTTAAATGAAAATCGAATAAATAGGACTCGTCTTCAAAAAAAGCTCTACTATAGACATTACATAACTGCTACGAGTTAAAATCGCTTTGTAAAATTCTTAGGCTGTATTTATGCGAAATCAATTTGCTAATAGAACAAAGCAGTTAGTTACATATTTGTTTGTTGTTTTTCTCATTAGTTACATAAGCGACATGCGAAGCTCAAAGCAGACAAAAAAATATATTGTATTATACCATAGCTGACACATATAATGCAAAAAACTTCTACTAGGCACCTGAGCTACCTTTGAGTTCTCCGCCAGCAGCTGATGGACACGCGACAATTCACGCTCCAAAATGTGCTGCTGCTTCTTGGCCGCCTCCAAAGCCATGGGCGTGGCATTGTTGTCGTGAATGCGCGCCCTCAAACCACCCAATGCACGCTCCAGATCCTCTTTGTCCCGCTGCAAACTCTGCAATATGCCCGACTCCTCCTGCAGCAGCCGATCCAGCTGATAGAGCTCATGAACCTTGGCCTAGAAAAGTACAAAAATATATAGAGTACAAATAGAAATTGAGTTATTAGCCGGCTTAGCATCGAGCCCAGTTCAGCACAAATCTAAGCCAGAACCGAACTCCTCTTAAAACAAAGATCTTGGCAACCGATCTAAAATCATGCTTTGGGCTCGAACTACCAAGTTGAAGCCATTTTACTATTGCTGCCTCGATGTCAAATAGTTTGCTTACCTGCAACTCTGCTTGATTGGGACTCAATCGTTCCCATTGCTTTTCCTCCTCCTGTAACATTTGACGCTCCTGCATACGCTGATTGAACTCCAATCGATCCAATGTTGCTGGCTGTGCTCGTCCATTGGCATCGTTGCGATACAGCGAACCCAGCTTTACCATGTTATCCACCAGATTGACCAGTGGCTTGCTCTTCTCATATTGCCGCTCCAAGTCCAGCAAATGTTGCTTTAGATAATCCAAGCGCTGAATGCTCTCAGCACGCGTTAGACCCTCAGCACCACGCAGACGATTCTATAGCCGATTGCGATAAGTTATTAGTTTAAAAGGCAAGGATAGAGGCTTATGGTAAACAATTATAGTTAAGATTCGAGTAGACATGTTTTAGTTACGAAACCAACACCAGTTGATTCTTAAAATATTTGTTTAGTCAACAACCAGCACCAATTGCAAAGAGTTCACAATCGTTAACCACCTGCACATTGTGAATATCGCTGCAGCATTGCTCGATGGCCCTTGCCGTTTGGCTGCTCTGCCGTCTCAATTGTATTAGCAGCAGCACCAGCTCCTCGTGTGTGCGACTCAACAAATCGCCAGCCGATACGTCCAGATTCTAGAGTGTTATTAAATCAATCAATCAATCAATCAGGATGAATAACGAAGCTGCTGTGAAGCACAGCTTTACCAGACACCAAGCGTACCAATCTGCCACTTGTGTGGGTAGATTTATCAAATTAGACAGTATATATAATTAACTTGCACAAGTCTAAGCGGATTTGATGAAAATTTAACATGTAATTATTAAAAATCGAATTCAGATTTTCCTTTATTTGGATAAGAGTTATAAGAAAAAGAATTTGTATGTAGAGCTCTGAAAATGTGCTTAAGCTGAAGGGTAATTCTACTCCTGAAACATAACTACCCACAACGGGATATATAAGAAATTGTAATTGTGTTGGATTTGCCAAGTCAGAAAAGTTTAAGCAGTGGACACAGTTTTGTATAAACCCCCCTCGCATTGGAGACCGCAACTTACCCTTATCTGTGAGCTGGTCTCACGCTCCAGCATATCTATTTCAGCTCGACTGCCAGCGCGACGCATTCCAAATTGCATTTGTTGCTGTTGCAACTGTTGCTGTTGCAGCTGTTGCTGTTGCTGTGGCGTCGAAGTCGCCATGTGGCCTGACCGATCATTATATTGGCCACGATCCGTGAGCACTGTGGCCTTGGCATAGTTGGTTTCCGTCGCATTGCCATAGTAGGGATCGTAGTGGGCGAAAGCCGACGCCGACTCCTGATGCTGTGCATCCGAGGGATCCGGTTTAACAGTTAGATTGCCCTTGGGCAAATTGTTCACGTTGCGCACCGAAATCGAGGCTGTAAAATCAAATGCAAGTTTAGTTTTGGGCGAGGCAAACACAATGGTTCGCAGGCTGAGAGAGGACATGTAATTTTAATTATAATTAGAGAAAAGCATTAAATAAATAGTTAAGGAGCGGCGTTAACTTCTCATCTATCAACAATTTGTTGTACGTATTTTTTCAGCAGTCAGAAAGTTGCACTACAAAAAGTAAAAGCGTCTAAAGGAGTTGGTCAATTGTCTTATTATTTTTGGCTGCCCGCAAAAGTGTGCTATAATTGGCTTTTTTTCTTAAAAACTTGTCAACTTTACAGCGTGTATACTTATGTGTGTGTGTGTATGTGTGTGTGTGTGTGTGTGTGTGTGTGGGTGAGTGTGTGATGAGTGTGTGTATTGATGAGTGAAATGAACATGAATATATACAAGCGCATTAAAAATTACATAAGATATAGGAATAGGTGTTTTTTGGTATAAATATATATATATGTGTATATATAGAGAGATATGTATATAAAAAAAATTGCTTACCATTTTGTTAAATGAAACAAAACAACACAACAATTATAACAAACAACAATAACAAATAACAATTTTGAAAAGAGAATATTTAGTGAAACAAAAACAGGCAACAGAACAATGGCAAACAATTTCAACTAATGCCTCTGGTATAAATCGATTTGTAAAACTTTCTACAGCATTAAAACAAGACAACAACAAACTAAAAAAAAAAAAACTAAGAAAAAAAACTGTCACATTTCAACACACTCAAATGTCGGGCTAACAGTGCGTATGCGTGCTATTTGTGAGTTTGCCTCAATTGTTTCTTGTATTTTGACCTTGTGCCGCATTCACAACAGCTTGATTATTGTTATTGGGATTGACATTGATTTCATTGTTGCCATTCAGCTGCTGAATGATGGAGCGCACATTGCTGGTCAGCGGCAACATGGGACCACTTGAGGAAGGACCTCGTGTTGACATCTCTGCATTGTTGTTGTGGCTGTTGTTGCTGTTGGTGTTGCTGTTGGTGTTATGGCTCTTCATCAGACCACTTGACATGGCATCCCATTGTCGTATATTCTCGCGATCCAGTTCGTTTGACTTGTGCGATAAATTGGAACCCGTCTCCTCGCGCAACACCTCATAGACATCCGCATCGCTTTGAGCCTGGCCAAGAGGTGAACTATTGTTGGCCAACAGCTGCACATACACATCATGCTCATCGCTGGCTGGTGAAGGGGATGCCGCTGAGAATAATCTTGGCTTCTGACAGTCATTCACATAGGTCACTTCGCGGCTCAGTTTCGTTTTGGTCGCCTGACTGGTGGGCGTGGTCATGGGCATAGGTGTTGGTATGGGCAAAGTGGGAGCGGCTACCGCAATCCTATCTAAATCGTCCAAGGAGCGCGCATGACGCTGTGAAACGCGTCGCAAGGATTCACGCCACAATGCATCCTCCTCCCAGAGCAGCTCGCCACCTAAAACTGAGAGTTGATTGGCGTTATTTGTGGTCGCAGTTGGTCCACCAGTAGTAGCTCGCTTGTCAAGTTCGAGATCATCGTCACCAACACCGACCAACTGCTGCTCGTCACCAACCTCATCCAACAGGCTACCACCAGTCAGTTTACGAGCGAGATTTGTGTTTTTAGTACTAGTTGTAAGATATGAATGAGTTTGGTTTAGTGAATGTTCAACGTTGATGCTGCTGCTGCCGCCGCTGCTGCTGCTGATGCTGATGCTGATCTCTGGCGGAGGCACTTGCTCCAGCATATTGTTCAACTTCAGCTTATTGCAGCTATAGCTGAGCTTCTCAATGTTCGCCTTATCGCTATACAGATTCTTGCTATCGATGGCCTGATCCTTATTCACCAATGCGTCCATATTAAACTGCAACCGATCGATGGGATTATGAATGTGGGCGATGTTCAAACCATGAGCATGAATATCCCGTTGATTATTTAATGGTGGTGCCGCTGGCAATTCGGAATAATAATATGGTGCCGACTGTGTGGATATATTGCTATTGTTACGACTATGCAGGGGAGTGAGGCAAATGGCAGCACCCTCGGCAATTGAGCTGCTGCCGAGCTGTTGGATGGAATCCGTTGAGGATAGAAAATGTATGTTGCCATAGAAATGCTGTTCATCGTTGTCGGCATTGCGAAAGGTCTTCGGGGGCTTGATGACACTGGTGAGGCACATATCCGTGGGCGTCACATCATTTAGTAAGTGTCGTTGGGGCGTGGCATGCGTTTGATATGGCAACAAATCGCTGCTCTGCAAATTACTCAAATAAGTATCCAGTTCATGGCTGCTGAGTGTCTCCTCAAAATGCTCGCTCATCGATTCAATCTCACTAATGGACTCCTGGGACAATGGTCGCCTCGAACGCTGGCGCTCCAGCTCCGAGTCGGAACGCTGACGAAACTCCACGGATTCATTTTCACTGGGCAATGAATTGTTGCTGGGGCAACGCAGCTTGCGATACAGTTCCAAATCCGAGGATGAGGTGCGTGAGGAGCTCTTGTCCGTCTGGCAGCTATAGTTGGAGTCAGATAAGGTGCGTGCATGCTGCTGCTGGAGGAGCGCTAATCCCGCTCCAACCGCTCCTGCTCGACGCTGCTGCTGCTCTGGTGTGCCACGCACCTTGGCAAAGTGATCCGGTAGAGAGAGGCGACTGCTCTTCAGCGTGGTGCTCGGTTCCATTTTGGGCAGATTGAGTGAGGTGTTACTCGCATGCATCTTGGGCAATTGCTCATAGGAGAGATTCACTTTACTATCGCTGCGCCTCTTCACCGTGTCATAGTGCTCCGACGAGAAGATCTCCTCCGTTTTCAGCTCCTCCATGGGTGGCGGGGAGTCGGGAATGGGCGGTGGCGGTAGTATTTCACTATCCGAACTCTCCGCATAGTTATTGAGCGGAGTGGAGGCGCCCAGGTAATATGAAGCAGGTCGAAATGTATCCGATAAACTGAATCGAGTGCGGGAACGCAATCTCTTTGCCTCCAGCTGCTGCTTGCTGCTCTCGTCATCCGCATCGGAGCTGTCGCTGGCCAGGTTGCTCTTCGTTGGCTTGAGTATATCTGGCATATCCTTGCCCTGACGTTTCTTTGATTTCTTTTTCAGAGTATCACTTCCACATTTTTTGCTCTTCTTCAGAGTGGACCGCCCTGAGGAACAATGCGCCTCCTCAGCGGCAGCGACAGCAGCAGCGGCTGCAGCTGCTTTGACACCTGCCAACTCCATGTAGACAGGCTCCGAGTTTGTTGATTTAATGCTGTTGGATATGCACATTATCTCATAGTTGCTTCGATAGTCATCGTCATTGAGCCCCTTGGTCATCTCCACATAATGATTCTCCTCCTCCGCATAGCACTCATGGCTAGCAACCAAACTCAAAGTGCCCGGCTGTCCCAACTCCACCTTCTTGGGCGTCATGGGCAGGTAATGACTCTCGTCTAGCTGCTGATCCGTGGGTGTAATGGGCTCATTTACATACAGTTGTTGCATCTCCTTGTCGCTGGGCAAATTGGCATTCCCACTGTCATCGTTCTCCTTCCCATTATTCCCATTCCCATTCGCATCCTCATCGTCGTTGTCGTTGTCGTCGTCGTCTTGTGCCAAAGCCTCATCTATGTCATCATCTGTGTACTCCTCACAGGCAGTGCTCTCATCCTCCTCATCACCATCATCATTATCATCATCATCATCAACCTCCTTATCCCCTTGCTCCGCTTGTGCCGCATATTCCGCTGCTGCCTCACCCAATGATGGTTTCTCCTCCGCTGTGGGCGTTAAATCCTCCTCCGACTGTTGTTGCTGCTGCTGCTGCTGCTGCAGTTGATGCTGCTGCTCTTTGTATAACTTCAGTTGCATCAGCATGGGCGTCTCCTCGGCATCGCTTATCGTCGACACCCTTGCGCCACCATCCTTTGCTTCATATTCCACATTCTCATAGTTGCTGGTGCTGTTGCTGCTGCTGTTGCTGTTGCTGCCACTGACCAGCTTGTTGCTGTACACGGGCACATAGTTCACGTTCTGTGGCGATTTGGGTGCCGACTTTTTGGGTAAAATTGGCACAGCCTCAACATCTTCAACCTCATCCGCATCCTCATCATCGTCATCATCATCATCCCCATCCTTGTCCCTTGCCATCGGCTGCAATTGCAGCTTAAGCTTGGGCTTTAACTTTGGCTGCACCTGAATAATAGGTGTTCTGCTGGCTTCGTGCACTTTGAGAATGGGTTTTAGCTGGAAATTCTGGCTGCTGGCCATGGCTGGTGACTTCAAATCCCTTTCTACTGCTGCTGCTGCTGCTGCTGCTGTTGTTGTTGTTGTTGTGTTTAAGTTGCTGAAATTTTTACTAAGGCTAATATTTGATGGTGCTGTTGTTGTGTTTGTTGTTGTTGTTGTTACTGTTGCTCTTGTTGTCTCTGCTAATGTTATTGTTGTCGTTTCTGTTGTTGCTGTTGTTGTTGTGTTTTGTGTGCTAGTTGTTGCTGTTGTTGTTGTTGTTGACCTTCCTGCCGTCACACTTATGTTATCATCCAGCCCAGGCCCAGCTGCGCTTTGTGCGTTTTCTTTTTATTTGTTTTTTATATTTTTGTTCAAACATTTACAACATTTACAAAATTTTCAGAAATCAAAAAAAATGTATACACAAAAATGGAAAAGAAAGATAAATAAAATATTTTTTTTTTGTGTTTCATTCAAATGGGTTTTTTTTTGTGTTTAATTTTGGAGCCCATGATTTGAATTTAAGTTCAGTTTGAGTTTTTTGTTTTTTTTTTTATTTTTTGGGTTTTAGTGCGAAATTTTACTGCGGCTTTTTAGTAGACGAAACACCAAGCACCCATTTTCCATGATTGATATGAAATTTAAAAAGCAACTATTTAAACCAACTACTCGAGAGAAATTAATTTCAAGAGAGAGAGAGAAATAGACAGAGCCTGCCAAAAAGTTGTGATGTATAAAGAAAGCAAAATCAAATAACAAAAGAAAAAGTTGAAAACTTTGCAAAGAACTGCAACATTTACACAATTAAAATTTTACTTGGAAAAAAAAAACAAATAACTTGCCTACTTTTAGGCTTGGCCTGCAGTCAACAACATCTCTAAAGATTTAATTAATATGCATATATTTGTTTCACCTAATTGGCAATGAATAACTAAGTATTTCAAAATTCGGATATTTTCACATTGTGTGTGCGCACGGCAGGAAGGTTTTTTTTTGTTTTTTTGTTGGTTTTTTTGGTTAAATTTATTGTTTATACATTTGGGTTTTATCATATTAATATTGCATTTTGCCTTTGTTGTGTGTTGCGCAATACGAAATTAATTAAAACATAAAAAATTCAAAAATAAAGAGAACATTATGATATACTACAACAGATTGTGTTTAGTTTGACATCTAAATAGGCATGCAAATTGGTTGGTTATTAGCTGAGTTAATAGGTAGAATCGCATATGTTTTAAAGTGTGTTACTTAATGCTATCGACTTAAAGCAACAACTACTTAGTTTTACATGGCAAATAGCACAACTATTAGAGTTAAAGCTCGAAACTAGTATACAAAGCAATTTGCCAGCTTAATAACAGAGATATTTACATAACTACAGGTACTAAGAGAAGGGAATGGAAGGGAGCGAAACACAAAATTAAACTAGTACAAGCTCAAACTGAGCAGGCCAAAGCCAGCTGAAGGCACACTCAAAGAAAGGTATACAAATATATCAGATAAATAAATATGAAAGGAGAAAAGACTTGGAAACTTTTTGTGTATTCAAATTAATGGCTTAAGTATTGCACTGCATTTTTAATCACCAAAAAAACTATTGGATTATTAGCATTTAACTGAACTTATATTAAGGAATATGCAAATATGAATTAAACTTTTCTTATTTGAATTCTATCTATATTCTATTCAATCTATGCATATTGGAAGTTAGAATTTTAAGTTTTGTTCTTCCGTTTTTGGGAATTTTGGATATTTTATAACATTTTCATATTAAGTACATTTTTCGTTGAGTGTAGCTTCAAGGTTGCTGAAAGGCACTACAATTGCAACAGGAGAGCAAAGCCGAAGAGCTAACAAAAGTAAAAGTAGAAACTACGCCAGAACAAAGGCAAATCTGCAACAAGAGATAGATACAAGGAAGGAGAGATAGACAGAGTGAGTGTGAGAGTGAGAGTGAGACAGAGCGCAACAATGGAGAGAGATAGCGTTACAGTAGCAGTAGCAAATATGTAGACAGGAAGCCCAAAAACAAACAGGCATCGATAGCACAAAAGACTTAAAGCAAAGCAAAAATGGGGGAGAGCAATGTGCGTTTCATAAATAAATAAACAGAATCAATTCTCTGAAGATAGACTCACCCTCATCATCCGAGGAGTAGCTGTTGTACACCACTCCACCGGGTCCAACATTTGCATGCGTTTCTGATCGGGATCGTTGTATGCCCGATGAGGGGGCGGCGGATGCGGCGCCAGAGTTGGCTGGTGTTGCAACAACGAGTCCCGTTTTGCCCGCAAGTGGTGCATAGCGTGCACCACTAGCCACCGCCGTGGAGGCGAGCAAAATGTTCGGATTGCTGCCAAGCTTGGACATTGCAGACATATTGCTGCCACCCTGTTGGACACCCTTGCGGGTCAGCGGCGATTGTAGCATGCGCTGTTTCCATTCCAGCAGACGTTTCATTGACTCCTCCCGTTTCCGTTCACCATCCTGTGGATTGTGCGGCGACGGGGCCGCGCCACCGGATGTGGGTGATGTTGCCACCGAATTGCTGGCCGAATAATCATCATCTAGGCCACCGTTACGCTTCGGCAATCGTGCGCTTGCCGAGCGCAGAAACAGTTCGTTCTTGCTAATGATCTCCTGCGTGGACATCGAGGGTGGGAATATCGAGCCCGGATGTACATTCAACGGCGGCAAATCCTCATCTTGTCCAGCCACCTGCTGTTGCTGCTGCTGCTGCAGCTGCTGGTGTTGCTGTGCGTGCGTGGAAACGGAACGTGCACCACCTGCACCCTGACTGGCCGAGCGACTCATGCGTGGCATGCTGCATGCGACACCACCCTGGGCCTGTGCCTCGGCGAGCAACTCCTGGCGCTTGTAGGCACGCTCATACGGATTTTCATAGCCAATGGTGTTGTTGCCAAATTCACCAGCAACTGTACGATAACTGCCTGCCTGCTGCGGCTGAGCAGCTGCACCACCACCACCATTAGCACCACCAGCACCAGCACCAGCACCACCCACATAGAGAGCACTTTTGCGCATCTTCTCCGCATAGCTGGCCTCCGAGTAGTAGAAACTATCGGGCGTGCGATTTATGTCCAAGCTCGATTTGGGTCGCGGTGCCCGTCCCGCTTCATGCTTGCTCTGCGCAATTGCGGCGGCAGCGGCAGCAGCAGCGGCCTCGGCACGTGCCTCATACTCCAGAAAGTCAGCGGAGTGCGGACGCACAATCGCCGCTGCGGTCCGTGCACGCAAGTCCATCGTATTGATTAGTTGATCGGCCGCATTTGGCTGTGGGGCAAAAGCAAATTGTTTGTCATTGGTTAATATTTTGTATATATTCTTTTTCGGAGCAGCTGCAGTTGAGCTTGCCCAACTCTCATCAGAATCTATTGGCAACGTGCCTTTACACGATATTTAGTGATAAGGCTATCACGGCGCCGAAATAGCTCAGTTGGGAGAGCGTTAGACTGAAGATCTAAATGTCCCCGGTTCAATCCCGGGTTTCGGCAAAAAGTGAATTTCTTTTTTATTGCTATCAGTAAATTTCTATTTTTATGTTTGTATATTTCGTATTATCAGTTAACTTTCGACTTTTCTAAATTTATATTATCGCATTTGCAGGTTTCAGGTACAGATTCTAATCACCGTTTGTCCAAAATTAGCAACTGCTTAGAAATAGATTATTAAGCGAAATCGCCACTCAGGATTTGGGGTTGGGCAATCAAGTGAGTTTGAATTGTGCATCTTAAACGAGCCGACAGGCAAATTGTGATGGCCTATTTATACATATATATATATATATATATATATATGTATATATATGAGGAGTATAAGCGACCACGAGGCATGCACAGCTGCTTGGGGCCCAGGCGCATAAATCATGCACGCGACTCATTTCCTGGCTGACCCACAAAGAGCAGCTGCAGCCTGTACAATTGCAACTGCAAGTGCAAGCCGGGGGCGAAAGGGCGAGCACACCATAAAGTTGCACTTTAGGAACCGCGGCATGCGCCAATGTGGCATTTGTGGCAGTTAGCAGAGAGTGAGTTCGGCACAAAATGTCTGCAATTTAGCAACAACCCACTGACACACTAAAGTCTAATTAGTGGGCGCAGCAGAAGCGGCAAGGACCTGCGACCCAAGTCTTTGAAAACTCTGAGTTCAGCAAAATTTTAAAACAAGCAGCTCCCTCACTTCTTGAGGCAGTCCCGCAATTGCAATGCTCTGGCAAAATGCGGTCATAAATCGTATATTTCTGGATTGGCTGTGGAGCAGATTTTAAATAAACTATCTTAGAAATTTCTTAGAAACATATTAAATATCATTACTCTAGCTCACATTGATGAATTATATATAAATTTACTTTATTCACTAACACGATTCGTATTTTTAAACAAATACTTTTGTATCCGTATTTTATAGGGCAACTTCAATAAGATACGCAGCTGCAAGCATTTTATTTTTAGCTGGCAACAACTTTTGCTTGTTTGCTAAAATAAATTATAATATTTAATTCCCCCATATGTTCTGTGAAATGCCGAAAGCAAGAAATAAAAGTAAACTGTGCTTAATTTTTAATGCTTTCACATTTCAAATTTCATCTCCAGCTGCTTAAAAGCTTTTCGGCAAATCGAAGTTTTGTTAAGATACAAAATGTGCGAGCTACACGAAATTTACATTCTAAATTAGTTTTCTCAACTCACTCAATATTTACATTTTCGTAAAGGAATATTTGAGATGTAATCAAGGTAAAAAGCATCTTTGCTGTTTGGCTCAGAATAAAGGTCGACTATTAATAGCTTAATAATATATACAACTCATTGCAAATGAACCCAAACCCATATCTATCTCACCCCAAATGGAAAACCCTTCTATATTTATAGAGTTTTCTAGCACAATTTTGTGATATGCTGTCAAAACCGATAATGTGCATCGTTAATGTAATCTATCAAATTGATGTGTGTCATATTTTCAACGCTTTCCATCAATCACATTGTTTTCCAAAAGTTATAGCAAACCTAAAACTTTTGCCATCATGCAAATAAAATTGATGGTAAAATGCGAGAACTATTTTAAGACATGGCAACTTTAAGACGTGTTTCAGAATTATAAAAGATTTGTATGTTGTCTTACAGTCCTGCAGCGAAAAAGGATGAGCAAAAGATGGATTGTCAAAGTTCAATTCAAGTTTAAAGTGATATTTGTTGACATCTCGATATGTATTGGATATTGCTTAAGGCAGTTAAATCACACAACAAATCTAAATTTTAGTTTGACTTAGTGCAACATAAGGACTATTCTTTAAAAGTAAATCTCCCTTTTTTCGTATACAGCTCAAACCTGATGTCGAATTCATTGTGCTCCTCTGATGGCCCTAAGTGTCTGCAAAGTAAAAGCTTCTGGCTACGTGCTGAGGTAAACTTCTTAGTAGAGCAGTTGCCGCTGCCTGTACCAGTTTAGTTCGTAATGGGTTCTGGCCTACATTTACCCACAGCGGTTACGTTTAAGTTTTTGCCTTTTTATTCGACTAAGTTTCAGTTGAAGTTTGCGAGCGCATCAAGTGGCGCAATGACATGAGATGATTTGTTGTGCTAACCTTAGCACCGAGACAGCCGCAGAAAGGAAAAATGATGATGTGCAACGAGCTGTGAAACGCACTAAACTCCACTCTAGCTCTTTGTTTCTTTGAACGTATGAGATATTTCCATAGAAATAAGACAACTACGCTTCTCTTAGAAAGCAAACAAGTGTACAGAGTAGGAAAAATAATAAACCGGGATTATATTCAATTTGTATTCTACAATGATCCACCGCAGCCCAGTTTGTCCTCTTTACGCTTCTTCTACAATACTATTGCTATAAATAAAAATCTCTTTTTTGATTTCAGATTGTAAATCTTAATTTTAAGCTAAAATTGTTCTTAAATCTAGGCTTCTATTTTTTCAAGAGCAATCGTTTGTTTCATAAGAAATATAAATGACCTCTGAGCTATTTGTCACTTTCGGGTGATTTGTAAGATTCAAGTTCCTACTTTCTGTTCTATATCTAGTTTATATGACTTACCTCCATGTGGTTGGGCGTGTATCGCTGTGGCATTGCTGGCACATGCTTGCTGCCATCGTAGCTGGGCGGGCTGAGTGGCCGCCGATAGCTGGCTGCCTCTTGGAGCAGCGCCTCATGAGCGGATATGGCGCCACCTGCTCCTGCCAGCTGCGACATGTTGTAAATGTCCTCGTAGTCGGCTGCAGCTGCGGCGGCAAACATTCGCTGCTGCTTGGAGCGACCATAGGCGTCTGGTGTGCGTCGCTCGGCTTGAAGCTGCTGCTGGTTCGGATAGACGCCACCACGCTGCATCATCTTAGCCATGTAGAGATCCCGTTCACCATAGATCTCCTCCACTGCGCGCTGCTGCTGCAGACGAGCTATCTGCTCCTCCATGTCCAGGTGTTGTTGCTGGAACTGTGCCTCCAGATGATCCAGGGAGTATTGCTGCTGTGCCTGCTGCAACTGCAGCGCCGTCGACACATGGCCCGTTCGTGTATCGTAGATGGCATGATGCTGCTGTGGCTGCTGCTGCTGTTGTTGAGATCGTTGCTGGTAGAGCTGCTGCGTGGGTGACAACATGCCCCCGGTGCGACGACTTGGTGGCACTGGCTGCTGTTCATTGTGCTCGGGCGATGGTGAGGAGTAGCCACCATCGTTAATTCTACGCGGCTTGGGTGGTGCATTCGCATACAGTGGCTGAGCACCACCACCGGGATTATCCGAAGCAGGCGTCAGTTGACCCTTGCCTGGCTGAGATTGCAATGTGTGTATGCCCGAGTCGGAGTTTTCCCCGCTGTGATTCAGCGACGAGTTAACACTGGGCTCCGATTCACCGCTACTGGGTGCCTGCATCATGCTGGCGGCAGCCAGAGCTCGGACCCACTGCATCATGGCATCTGCACTATCGGCAGCCAGCCAATAAGTGCGCATATTCTGATGTTCGCACTTGAAGGCAAACTTGCGATAGATTTTGTCCTCGGGCAGGCAGGCAGACACCCGATATGAGGGCAACAACACCGAACCCAACAGCTTCTCCTCCTCGGGTCCCTTGTAGTAGTACAGGCAGTATTCGGCGAGGACGAACCAACGCTTGCGCCAGACTTTCAATCCATCCGATCCCTGTTTGTGCAACCAGCCAGAGAGGGTAACCGGAGTCGTCGGTGGTCGCTTGGTAATCGGAGACTTCAGTGCCTGCCCAGAGCCAATGCTCTTCTTTCGATCTAGGGGAGCATGGGTTGGACTGCGCGTGGAGGCCGATGAGGATTCCTCCGAGCTAGGGGTGGGTTTGGGCTTTACAGTTGAGATTTGTGTCTGACAGGCCTGATTGACCACATGTCCAGGATGATTCTGTTGGATGTAGACGGGCCCATGCTCGCTGCCGGGCGTTTGCAACTCTGGCTTATGACGTTGTTGCTGTTGTTGCTGCTGTTGCTGTTGCTGCTGTTGTTGCTGCAGTTGCTGCTGCAACTGTTGCTGTTGTTGTTGATGTTGCAACTGGAGCTGCAACTGTTGTTGCTGCTGTGCATAAAGTTGTTCCTGATAGTGTTTGGGCATCTGCTGCTGCTGTTGCTGTTGCTGCTGCTGCTGCTGCTGCAATTTCAAAGGACCCGAGGCAGCCTGATATTGATTGCCTAGGTTAAGGGTTGAAGGAGGAGCTCTCTGCTGCTGCTGCTGTTGTTGCTGCTGCTGCTGCTGTTGTTGTTGTTGCAGTTGCTGTTGCTGCTGCAATGTCATGTTGGACACCATGCTCGAAGATTGACTCATGTGATAATGGGCTGTGGGTGGATTCATTGCCTGTCGCATTGCAAACGTTCGCTGCTGCTGCTGCTGCGCCTCACTTTGCGTCACCAACTGTGCCTGCATCTTGGCCTGTTGCAACTGTTGATATTGCGCCTGCAGCGCCGATATAGGATGTTGTCCTGCCGTCGCATTGCTCGCCTGCAAACGTCCGGCAGCCGCTAGATAAGTCCGCTCCGTGGGCGACTGATAGATTTGCTCGCCACCCCCGCTCGAGTACGACTGATGATAGGGTGAACTATGCGAGCTGCTCGAATTGCCGCCATGATTGTGCTTGAGCAGACCATGCTTCGCCTGCGGCTGCATATCGATGGGTGATAACGGACCCCCACCGCTGGATGAGGTCGCCGTCGGCGATTGCTGGTAAAGCGCCTGTGACTGCAGATGGTAGCCGGCGGGCGAATGTGTCGCCGTGCGATAATCAATTAGATTCGTCTGATAGGCGAGTGGCAGTTTCTTTTGCTGCTGTGCAGTTGCCGCCTGCAACTGTTGCAGCTTTTTGGCGTCCATGGTGCCGGCGGTGAAGAGCGGTGGCGCTTCCAACCTAAAAGAAAATTATACGAAATATATAAATTTGAAATCTTTTTTTTATTTTTGTTTTGACAGAAATCTCAAATTCCGACTGTGAAGTTGAGAATGAGTATGAAAGAGATACAATATTTAAATAATAGAATGTAGGAAAAAAATTAATTGATGTCTCACAAAGAGAGATCGGTTTGGGTTCTGAACCGGAAAATGGATTGAACTCTTTAGCATTCGAATTAAAAAAAAAAAAAATGGATTGTAAAAATGAGCCAGTCTTCAGATTTGGAATGATGTCGTTTCAATTAGCAAAGGTTGGCGAGATTAATTCAATTGCGTGGACAAGCGGTTAAGCTGTACGCGACGTCGACGATGAGGAGGCTTTGCCAATTGGTGACCAAAAAGCAGCGCTAAATCCGCGCCAATTTTATTGAAGCCGGCAACTGGGGATGCAACTGGCTCAGCCCATAATTGACGTTAATTGATTGAGTGCAACGCGAAGGCCTCCCATCGGTCAGGTCAGGTCGCACAGTGGCACAGTGGCACAGTGGACGTAGAAAATGGCATATAAATATCATAATTATGCATGGGGTTTAGCCTGGCTTTCATCTACTTACCAGTCCCACAGCTGATAAATGCAGCCAAACATGTTTTCGCTTTCGTTTCTGTTCACGCGCGCACGTTAATTAATTTATAATTTAATTGGCCTTATCAATGGTGCACGATTTTTTCCAATCTGTTGTTCCTTTTTTTTCCACCAGACTTTTATTATTTTTTGATTGGATGCGAAAACTCAATTACGCGTTCCAAACTCATTTTCAAAATGAAATGTGGCAATAGTCTCTTTTGTTGTTCAGTGCATTCATTTTTGTGTTTTTATTCGTGATATGCTCGGTTTATCCCTCCCATCGCCAGAGAGAAAGAGAGAGAAATGAAAATATTCCGCTCGCCCAGTTGCTGCAGTTGAAAAACTGTGTGAAAATATGTCTATTTTTATTGGGGACACCCGCAGATTTATGCCTCTCAATTTTGGTCAGTGGGCGAAAGTCAACAAAGACAAAAAAAAACCAAAAACAAAAAGAGATGCAAATTGAAACTACAATTGTAGACACACCAATTATTTCATTAGACGCAACGCAGAACTATCTATTAATACTCTAGATAAATATTCGTTTTTTAATTGGCATTGGGAAAATCTGTCACAACAGAAGTCTTGGGCTGTGAAATAGGCGTAGTAAAAACAAGTCAACCTCTCAACGATGATTAAAATTCATTACGTAAAAAATACTAATGTAAAATTGATTTAATACATAGTCTGCAAGGGTATGTAATCTTTGGCGTGTCTAAAATTCCCATTGCGTGTTGTTTATTTATTCAATGTGTTTGCTATAGTATTTCAATTGTAGCTTTAAGCATTTTATGCATATCTATATTGGTTTGTTGTCGGACGCAATAAATAATTGCGTCGAGCTGTGAAAAATCTCCAATAAATTTCCAACGTACACAAAAATTTAAAACAAAAAGAGAATTTTCACAGAAATTCCACATGATTGGAATGCAATTTTTGCAATTATTTTCAATACAAATATTTAAAGAATTTAACAATATATTGTTTGCATCCAAGTTGCCAAAATATTTTATAACAAAAGTTATAAAAGGGAGCTGAGCATTTAAAAAATGCAATTACTGAAAAGTTATTTATTTAGCAAAGCAGTTTTGAGCACAAAGAATTGCTGAACGTTATTCAATTTTTAACAACGGTTGAATTTGTTTAACCCTAAAAATTCAACTTGTGGAAACTAAAGCGAGAAAAACGATACTCATATCATAAGTTCAAAAATGCATTTCGATTCTATTATAAATGGAATAAACGTCCTCTATTTCTGATCGAGTTAAGGAAAAAGTCAAGTTACACTGAATTGTAAATTCAACTCGATAAAACCTTTTCATTCCGAATTTTGTATATACTTTGATATATTTATGTCTTGTCTAAAAATTCGATTATCATAGCAAACTGATAATGATGTCTGTGCCAGTTTTCTCATTTCTATATACTACAATGAAAGTTTTCGCAAGGCAAAATTGGCAAACTCGACTTGACAGCCACAACCGCAATTAAACATGATGATTTCTGCTTCAATTGAGGAGTCATCGCAGCTGAAAATATATGTGAAATTCTGTATATATTTTTGTATATATAATAAGGGCGAAGAGAACACAATCGAAATCTACCGCAGACAGACGTGAAGCTGTCAGATGAGCCGCTGTCGATAACGAATTCAACGGGGAAATGCACTTAATGCAATTGACCAGTGCTATCCAATTATTTGAAATGAAATTCACATTCATGTGTGTGTATTTGTGTGTCGTAAATGAAATAAGTGACGTTCAAATGCCATCGGAAAAGGAATTATAAACTGCAAATATCATTTATTTCATGTGGCTCGAAATCGATTTAACAAAATGCACACATATTGCATACTTTGGGGCGCAGCTTGGCTCGTTGTTGCTGCAAAAAGCGTAAGAGCCAAGTTAAAAGCGTCTGACAGCACAATACAACTTGGCACAAATGTCGACGTTCGAGCATTAAAAGCAAAATCCTGTTGAAAATGTTGCGCAATAAATAAACAATTGATCCGGGATTTAAGCACAAACACAGCACGTGTAGTTCTATGCGTGTGTGTGTGTGTGTGTGTGTGTGTGTATGTATGTGTGTGTGTGAGTTTTAGACTGGGTTGCCCTGCTGTGCCGACAAATGTTAAATCATGGCATTAGCAGCCTTCGGCGTGGCCATTTTACGGTACAATCAACAGCAAACCGGGCTAGCCAACTAACCAGCCCAGATTGCTGGCCAAGCAGTCTGCGACCGACCAACCAACCAACCAGCCAGCCAGCCAGCCAGCCAGCCAGGCAACTAGCCAACGCAAGCCATTTTATAATTGCCTTCGAGCCGGGCCAACAATTTGTATGGCTTTCAATTAACGCTTCAGAGGCAGAATTTTCCAACTGGCGCAGTCCTCGCTGAAAGATGTGGCCGAAAGCAAACGCACAAATAAAATATTGGCAGCAGAACAATAATAAACAGCCAGAAGAGTAATAAAAACACAAGTTGAAATTGGTAAGTTGGGCATGAGTAGCAGATACTCATTAAACAGATAACGCTCGTCCTCTATACACATATATATATATATATATATAATGGAAAGTATGTATGTACACCAAGGAGAAGTGCACAACATGAAAGACTAGAACTGAACAAAAGTGTATATATGAAGAGTAGAAGCCTGCTTCCTTTTGCCTAGTATAACATTAATCAATCCGCTCATGACCATTTAATGAGTGCAGGGTATAAAAAATCGATGACGATTTAACAACAAGCAGCCGCATCGTCAGGCACAGGACTTGGCTGCCACTCAGTCTGGACTTTCAGTATAAAATCGTATTGTGGTATTCTGTGGCTGTTCCCTCTACAGCGATTGTGTAACTGTATTGCTGTGCCGCTTTTCTGTGTGATGGACGTCACTAATTTGAGCATGAAAAATAACCCCAAGAGTATTTTTTTATGCACGCCATATAACGATGTTGCTGCTGCATAAGAAATGGCGGTTGCTTGTCCTTATGTCCATCGACGTCAAATTATGTGCATATAAATGGCACTGATTGCGACTATACAAATATACATATATAAAACATAATGCATACATATATTATTATGTATTAGTGTGTGTATTTACAAGTCGAATATATTTCTCAATTACTCGTACAAAGATCTGATAATATTCTTATTTACTCAACGTATTACAATGTAAACCGAATTAGAGATCCACACTGTGAATTTGGTTTTGCGTTGATTACATTCTGCCACAGTTTTGTTGCCATTTAGAGAAGTACTCTTGCAAATTTACATTTGGTTAGTTCAGCCATGCAAATGCTGTCAAATGCCAACGCTCGCCAAAGGGCTGTGTACGGGGATTAAGGAAATTTGGTGTGTATAGTCAATGCTGTCAAAAAATTAGACATTTTACTAATAAGTGTCACTGCATACAATTCCAGCTCAATTGGCATTTGCGGGCGAGCTACAAATTGTAGCTTTCAACGTGTATGTGATGATATTTAGTGCGCATACGCAATGTGGAATGTACAAATTAGCTTAGCTATAAATAGAACTCGGAGCAGAAAAGCTGCGGCGCATCTCATGTTCTAAAAATAGACAATCTTGCAAATATGTACATAATATGTACTGTGCTGGGGATACTCAATTTCACTCAAAAAAACAATTTAAATTAAATAAGTAGATATTTTTCAGCGATTATATGGTAAAAGCACTTCCTTAACTAATGAAAGTAATCATAAAAAAAATGACAAAACCTATTTTAATAAGCGAAAAGAATACAAAAACAAAAATCGTAAAGATAGATAGATAGTTAATCAAGTTGATGGTTTCTCCTAAATTATATGTCCACCACTGTTAGTGCAGAATATGTTTAAGTCTTTCAACAAGAGACTTTCTTTGACGTAATTGAAACTTTAGCTGAGGCAAGCAGCTTGAGTTTAATAGTGTAGCATATAACTTGGCTTTAAAATCGCGTATTAATTGCTGCTGCACATGCAACAATCATTGTAATTGCCAATGGCATTTGTAGGCCGCAATGACGTCATTATCATTTGGCAGCAAGTGTTACTCGACTAATAAGAGGAAGTGGAAGAAGATAACCACAGATGGAGCAGCCGCAGCCGGAGCCGCAGCAATGTGCCACGATCCACTGGCCACGACGCATCAGCCACTCAACGAGCCATTTCACTTGAAAGCGTGTTGCAAGCTCAAGTAGGCCAGCGGCTCAACTGGCCAACCGGCCAATGGGGCAACTTAATTATTACTGTGAAGGATACAACCCAGGCCTGGTCAAAAGAGGTGCGCCTGCAAAGCTCTGACTCGCTCCCTGCTGCTCTCTGGGGCCACTCGTAATACGTTAAGTGCAATTATAAATACTTATCAGCCAGCAGATTTCAAGTGGAAACGGAAGTAGCAAATAACAAAAAAAACAAAAAAAAACGAAACCGAGCACAAAAATTAACGAAAGAAACAAAAAGAGAGGAAAATCAATAAAACAAGTGGCAGCCAAAGGCAAAAGACAGCAAATACTTTCGAGACGCTAATGCAAACACACACACAACAAGCGAGCTCCAGCGAGCTATGGAAATGTTGACAAAGTTACTGTGAAAAATACACACACACACACAAACAAACAATCACACACACACACACAAACAACTACAATGTGAAGCGCTGCGGGTTAGCAGATAAGAAGCAGAAGAAAAAAAAGAATAAGTAAAAGAAAAAACCTTTTACTTTTTTATTTATCATTTCTTGAGCGCCTGTGGGCTATTGGCACATGACCTTGCCCCGACGGCCTGACAGACGCTTTGATGAGTTGTCAACGGGCGAGTTCTGTGACAGTCAGTGTGAGTGTGTATGTGTGTGTGTGTGTGTGAGTGCTTTTTTTTTATGTGTAAGTTGCCCTTTGGGGACTTACTGGCATACTTATTGGGGCGAAAAGTGTTGCATAATATTTGTGCTCGCAAATGGCCAACAATTTGCAAGGACACTTCATTCAGCATTGCAACACATTGTGGCACATCATTTCTGTTTCTGTAAGAATAACACATAAATTTACTGTTTATATAATTTGTGCTCAGTGCTCAGGCTTGAAACATGAACAGCGCCATCAATTTGCAATTGCAAACAATTGAATGTAATTAAAAGCATCTCAATCAAAACTGATACTGTGCGAGAATATGTTTGTCTGCGTGTGTGGATGGCAATCTGTTTTCGTGGCCAATCGATAAAATTGAAATCGAGCAGCAGCCGCAACCACAACAACAGCATAGACATAAATCAGCAATTGGCCAAAACCAAAGCTGGTCGAAACCAAACGCATTTGCCAGCACACTCAGACTACTAATTAGTGTCTCTCGTAATATGCATCATCCAAAACGACCATTTCACACAAATCGACAATGAGCACACCTTGCATCATGGATGCACAAGCGATAATTCAGGTAGATTGCCTATCGGCCTGGTCAAAAGCTATTAATCGAGTCCAAAGCAAAACAGTTAATCAAGATCCAAAAATTATTGTTCTAAATTATACTCAAATATCGAAATTATGAAAAGAAAAAAATATTTCTTAATTAATTCATGTCAACAAAGTAGTTATGATAATGAAATAAATAAGTAGCTGGACATCGATATCCTTATATAATTAACAGCCTGCTTAAAATCTTTACTAAATCCTCCTAAGCCCATTTCATGATGTAAAACATAAAATGCAGTAATAATGCAAACAACAAACAACAAAAGAAAAATTGGAATGATCATATGTCAAATGAAAAAAAGAAGAGTATTTTTGGAGGTCTCTCAGGGTCGAACACTCTGGCAACAATTCAAAGTTGCACACTTGATTTGGCTGACAGTGCACTTCAATTCGCAGCCAGCAAACAAACAATGCTGAGCGAGTGCAAGAGGGTTGCGGGGTTAAGCATGGTTTGGGGGGGCTGCTCTCAAAAAATACTCTGTTCATAGAGCTGCCAGTTTTATAGCATACAAAACAAAACATGAGGCCAACAACAAGCATAAATATTCATTGTGAGAGACAGGACTCAGTGCGATAGAGGATAGAAAAACACACGCACACTAATAGACAGATGTTGTGTGTGTGTGTGTGTGTGTGTGTGTGTTTGATGTTTAAGTGGATGCCAACTTCCGCCCAGAATGACACTTGATGATGAAGATTTTTGTTGCTTTCACTTTTTGCCATTGTTTATGGCATAGTAGACATCGGCCTGATTGGCCTCACGTAGTAGTGGATGCTCGGCATGTTGTAGTAGCATTTGTGTATAGTGGGTGCATCCTTTTGAGCATGTCCTGTCTGCATGCGAAATTGACAAGCACATTGACAGGCGAGGCAAATGCGACAGCTGTTGGGTGGCTATTAAGCCCAACTCAACTACAGCCTAGGTGATTATCGAATGCACACAAAAGCACACAGCCTGCGAAGCACACACACCTGGGCAGGTAAATTAAGCAAACAGGATGATGGCAAAAAGTTGAAATAAGTCATTGCAGCGGCATTCCAACTGAGAGCTGAAGGATGAAATTACCTCACGCCAAACAACATGACGATAACATGAGCCCCACAGCTGCATACGCACCCAGAGAAATGTGAATCTAAATGAAAGCAAAACAGCTACAAAATGCAGAGTCTCATTCAATTATGAATATTCGAAAATATACAAATTTATTTCTATAAGAAACGATCCAACTCATTATAAGCATTTTCATTTAATTGCATTTTCTAACCGCTTAAGTCAAAAACTTAATTTCCTGATTTAAACTAATTTGATTTAATGTCTCAAAAAAAAACTAAAAATCAAATTTTAAATAATTCGTTTACGAATAATCTTAAATAAAAGATTTTGTATAAAAATCTATAACATATTGCTCATGTTTGTTGAGCACTCAAAGAAAGCAAACTTTTTGGTTTAAGACTACGAACTTTAAAGTTTTCCTTTTATTCTCTACCCTTTGGCACTTGTGTTATTTATAAAAGTCTATTTTTTTTTCGAGTGTAGCTGCTTTTGACTGCCAGGTGCCGGCTGCTGCTGCTGCTGCTGCTGCTGTTGGCGCCTAGGCATGCGCTAATGCCTCGCATTCATTTGCAGCCATCAAAAGTGAAAAATTCAAATCAAGGCACACGCACCGAGCACGAGGCAGAGTAAGGACACTCACACACACACACACACACACACACACAATCTCACTCACTCAAAAGCCAGGACTTTATCATAGAAACATGAGCGACGGCAGGCTGTCATTCATGTTGCATACCAATTTAAATACTTTGCACGCAAAAACACACACACACACACATACACACACCAACTCACACACACACCAACTGACACACACAGCTGGGGTTAGAGAACTACGGCTTTAGCGTCTGCTGCTGTTACCCATTTCCGTTTTTGGCAGCACAAAAGCCACTCGGGTCCGCCGTGTGCCTGCAGGATGTGTGCCATGTTTATGGCTCGCAGACCGCCCTCCTGCCTCCCACAACCCCATCACCATCTATCCCTTTCTCTCTGGCACTCTCTCGTTCTCCCCCCTCTGGTTCTCGCCTCGCCTTGCGACGTTTTTGTGCTCTTCACGTGGAAACAAAAGGCGGGCACAAATATTTTTCTCTAATAGTTGTCGCTAAAGTCTGCTGTGTGTATGTGACAGTTTGTGTGTGTTTGTGTGTGTGTGTCGGTCTTTGTGTGTGTTTGAGTGTGCGTCGGTCTTTTTGTGTGCTACAAGCTTTTGTTTATGGTATATTTGTTTTGCATTTTCCTGGACAGCTTGTCCGAAAAACTACAGCGAGAGTTGCGACAGAGAATTGAATTAAAATTGTGAACAAACAAACGGCTGAAGGATGAATGAACGAAAAAAGAAAAATCCTTTTGTGCAAAGTAAATAAAGCGCTTAAAATGAATTATAATTGAGGTATGGTTAGCCAAAGGCTCTTATCCGAAAGGTTCGAAAGGTTTCTTTTGAATTTCAAAGTAAAGTGGTGCAGAAATGGTATTGGAAGTAAATACTGGAAGGCTTTCTTTATAAGATCAGTTATTTGAATTCATAGCAGCTATGCGAGAAACTGTTCGAACCACCCACGAATGTCCAAAAACAACATCTGCGATATATCGTTATTTTTATGTGCTATTTTGTTTTGTTCCATTTTCTATTATTCCATTTCTTTGCACTTGCCTTGCTGGACGAATTCATTTGGCATTTGATATATATATAAATGTGTATATATTTGGATGTTGGTTTCCTTTTGTTATATTGTGTATGTGTGTGTGTAAGTGTGTGGTTCTCTGAGTGTATGTGTGCCTAAAGGAGCAACTTTTAGCTTCAGCTCGACTTGCTTCCCTCTATGAATTGTGTATAAATGTAAATTGTTATTGATTATGCTGCACATAAAATCTAAAAACACATACACTTACACAAGCCAGTCACACACTCCCACACACACACACACACACACACACACACACACACACACACACACACACACACACACACACACACACACACACACACACAGACACAACGCTCTCAATTTTGTAACCCGTCATAAATTTGAGTATTGACAATTTTTGACCCGGAACCCTTTGTTTGTTTGACCCTTGCCCAACAAGCCGGCAACTCTTGTTGTTCTTTGGAAAATGTACTTAAGGCCAGCTTAAGTTTCAAACGTACACTTGCAAAAAAAACCCATGATTAGTAATATATTTATAACCTGTAGAGAACTTCATTAATTTGCTACATAAAGTGCTTGAGTAAGTACACATTACTCTCGATTGTGAATATTATATAAATAATCAAGAATCAAGTACAAAATACTCTGTCTGCTGCCTCAGTGTACCTTTTGTATTTGCAAGTTAGTTTTCGAAATATTACACATACGCCACATGGGCAATGGCATTATAATGCTATAAATACCGAATGAAATGCACTTTGACTGCTTGACTTTGGGCTTACAGGTTTGTCTGTGTTTGTGTTCATGATGAGGAGTTGCAGTTGAAGTTACAGTTAAGGTTGAGGTTGAGGTTGCTGCCTCTCATGCTGAGTTTGGCCAACAGTTTGTCAGCAAGTTAAGAAAGCAAAACGGCTTAGGCGAAAACTTTTTGCCCACAACAGTGGCAGTCGTCGAAAATGTTGCAGCAGCAGTAGGAGCAGCAGCAGCGTGACAAGGACACATAATGAGTTTTGCAATTATACGCCGAGCTGATGACTTGCCATTTGCAATTACCTGATGCTGATCCAAGTGTTGTCTGAACTTTTAATTGCAGATAGATGCGAAGATGGCGAGCCGCAAAAAAAAACAACGTGTACTACAACAAAATTAGAAATCATCAGAAAAACGCACAAAATAATCATCAAGTCAACGACTGCAAATGTTCCGTATATTCAAATGCTTGCCTGGCATGCACTAAATCTTATTTCACATGCAACTGAACGAATCAAATGGCAGCCTTCAATGCAAATGAAAATTGTTGCGACTGTCGTTGGAATGGGGTGTGCGGCATGGGAAAAGGGGTGAAAGACGGGGTACCAGATAGATAGGAGTGCTGTGGCTTGGCGCCTATTTGGCGGTTGCCTAAAATTAGGTAAGGCCATTATGAAATTATGAAAATTAGAATTGAAATGAGCGAACATGACGTGACGTAAAATGGAGAAGCTGGCAGAATGAAATTACATTATAATTTATGTGTACGTGCTTTCTATGGCAAAACGCTTTCACGTGTGTGGTCTGAACAGCTGCAGCTAAAGCAGAGTGAAAGTTCATGTAGTTATTTATCTAATAGATAACCCATCAAATGGCAAACAATAAAATTGTGAAATTTAATCAAATTTATTACCCACGAGCTGAAGACAAAGGCTTAATAGCCATGCAGGCATACTGACTAACATAAAACCCTAAACTAGCCGTAATCAGTAACGAAATCAGGCAACTTGACAAAAGTAAAACTCTAAACTAGGTATAATGTGACGCAGAATCTGTGACATTGAGGAACAATCCTCAAAACAATAATAATAATAATAATAAACTCTAATCCCAGTACAAATTTGTATAGTGGAAAATTTAAACAGAAAGCTGCTTAATAAAATATATTTTATTCTATTAAATAAATCGTTTAAATATATTTTGAGACTGTTTGTCTTTTTTTCAATTTCTTTGGTTTTTCACAATTGAAGTCCATTAATAATCTGGACGTTAAGCCGCGATCAAACGGGATTTACTTTTGAAACTGGGTTGAGATTTCACAAAACTTATGATAATCTACTATTTAACCTGGGCCCAGCTGCGACTTTATATAATGAAATATTTATTTGAATACCTCTTAAATTGCTTGCCAATGCATATCCTCTGCATGAGTCTTAAAGCACTCAAAATTGAGCAGTTTAGCAATTATGTTTCAGTCAAAGATTAAGTGATTTAAGCTTGACTGATAGACTTAAAACTTTTGGAAAATCCTTTAAGCCTTCTGTCATAAAACTTTCAGTTTATGCGACATATGAAAACCATAATTATGAACTTATGCAAAATACGATTCAATGAACTAAAGTGAATAAACGGCTATAGTTAAACCAATTGATTGACTACACATCCAATTAGTTGGCTGAATGTGTATAAATTAATCAAAATTGTGGCTGAAATTGAATTGCTAAGAATCTTCGGTCAATGCTGAGAAATGTTTCCAATATGCCGAATGGAATTAACTGAATGCAGAGTGAGTTAAAGCTGGATGAAAAGTCAGGATAAAATATGCTTGGTCGTTGACTGTTGTCGACTTCGCTGGATATGCAAATGTTGTAGATACTGTTTTGAATAACATTATTCATTAGATGCGAGACATGTGTGTATGTGTGTGCTGTGGGTGTGTAAATGTGCTGCTAGGCATAATAAATTGCTTTAAAAGCGTCCAAAGACGGCGGCCCACAACACAACAGACACAGTTAGAAGGGGAGACGAGCAAAAGTTGCTAACAATTTAGTTGGCAGTCAGTATCCTTGTGTTATATGTGCGGCACATTGTACTTTGTTCAAGCACACAAACACACACACACACACACACACACACACACACACACACACACACACACACACACACACACACTCGAGAGACTCAGGTGTACGAAGATAAGAACGAAACGCGTCTTACGCGAATCCCAGCCAAAAATAAACGCCAAGAGACGTGTGGGCCAAGAGAAACACAAAGAGAAGGCCAACACATGAAATTTACTTCCTACACTCAGAAAAACGATTATAGAGACATTCTCTGTGAAATCAATCCTTATAAGTAGTAACAACAATTGTTGAATTAAGTATTTAGTAAGTATTTCAAATCTTGCAGCCATAATTAAAAGATCTCAGATTTGGCATTAGTTCGGATTGATTCAAGAATTTCTGTACATAACATAGAGTATAATATAAAATAGTTAAATACTTTGCTTAAACGAACAATGTTCGTGATGGAAATTACAGTGAAATCAATCGTGCTCAACTTGTACCGGATAACATTTACCTGAAGTAGTTTCGTGATTGCAAAAACCTCACTTAAAATAAGAATTTCGTTTCCAATCTGAGACAAGTCATGTTTGTGATTAAAGTCCAAAATATTTTGAAAGTGTACAAAGACACCAACTTAAGGGATGAGTTTGAAAGGGTGTATAAAAGGTATCTAGACAGATGTGAATTCTAGGCGCATTCACTCGCTGATAGGCGCTAAACTTTTGATATTGTGGCCACTGGACGATGACGATGACGACATAAAAACGTGAATGGTGGACGTGAATATGGAATAGTTGGCTGGCTGGCTGGCTTGGCGGACGTGGAATTTTGGACATGGACTTTAGGCCAGTGCTCGGCAAAATGCGACGAAGTCTTGGCTCGCCTCGTTGGCTGCCTGGCACATAATAATTTACATAATATACGTGTGCGCAATCAGCAAAAAACGACAACAACCACAACAGCAGCAACAGCAGCAACAACAGCAACAACAGCAACAGCAGCAACAACAGCAACAACAGCAACAACATCAACAACAGCAACAACAACCACAACAGCAGCAGCAGCAGCAGCAGCAGGGAACGATAACAACGAGGCAGCGTCTCGCACACACAGGAATATATTTTCACTCTCACAGGGCGCGACGTGGGGATTTTTGTGCTTTCGGTTTTTATTCATTCCTTTTTTTTTTGACTCTCGATATAAATGCGAATACTGCTGCACGCTTTACATAACACCGCACACACACACACACACACACACACACACAATCACACACATATAGAAGCACAGAAATATTTCTAATTCATTTTCTTATTGGTTTTATTGTACGCGTTGTGGAAGAGCAAAAACGGTACACCCCCAAAAACAGCCACGCTGACTTTGACTGCCTGTCTAACGGCCTGCCTGCCTGTTATTTTCTATTTGTCTTTTTTTCATGGTATATTTTCTTGTTTTTCTCTGTTTTTTTCTATTATTTTTTCTTCTTTTTCTGAGTTGCCAACCAAAAACACGCGCGTTGCCAACTGTCCGCTGTTCGGTTTCTGGGCAGCCGCTGCTGGCGAAATTCGTGAGGAGACTGCAGGAAAAATCGTTTCGTTGCGTTGCGTTTCGTTTCGGTGCTCGGCAAATAAAAAGGACACTCGCCAAAGCAGGAGCACAAAACTGAGCGAAAGCTCGTTCGAGTCAAAGCTTTCGAAAGCTGCGCGGGTTGTCAAAACAGTTGCTGTTCAAAATAAATATTGCGCATACGACGCGTGAGCAAATTTTAACTCGAAACTTGCACTCAAATGAAGCTTTAACTTCAGCTGTCTGTTTGTGTGTGTGTGTGTATGTGTGTGTGTGTGTGTGTGTGTGTGTGTGTGTGTGTGTGTGTGCGTGTGTGTATGTGTTGCCTTGTGTTATGCATTAAGGAAAAGAGCTTTCATTTCTAATTTAAACCAAGCAGCTAGCAAAAACACCGGCAGCATAACAACTGCACAACATATACATATTTACCTCCATAAAGAATGATGTTAATGTTGGTGTTGTTTTTGTTTAAATTGTTGTTGGAGTTGCTGTTGTTGTTGTTGTTTTTGTTATTGTTGTTGTTGCCACCTTGGGGCAAAGCTCAGCACTGCAATCCAATTGATGTTCTCAGACCAATGTTTAGCTAATGAAAATGTCTTTGAGAGTTTGTACGCAAGAAGAACAAATGGCAGGCTTAAAGTCAAGTTTTTATACTCAACGACTTTCTGAATAGTTAAAATGGAATTTCTAATAGGTTCTACTTGAGGAAGTATAAAGCGCTTTAAATTTGAAAGTTGCTCACAGATGATACGAATGAGTCCAGTAATACATAAACTTAGTACTAGAATTAAGTAAAAGTTGAGCATAGAACGCAATTTACGTTCTCTTAATTTAATCGTCGTCGTTGTTAGGCCATAAAATAGTTTAACTACTCAGTTTTAAGTATGCATTTCTTTACATATGGTTAATTGCAATGTGCCTCTGCAAGCGCTTTAGGGCGATTTCGAATTAACGCGTGCGAGTCGTGTACAAGGCCATAAAATCTGTGTTAATATCTATAATCTAACACCACGCGCTTTCCGTTGCTGCTGTTGTTATTGTTATTGTTGTTGTTGTCTCTAATTATCATTTGTTGCGCATGCGAGAGCAATTATCTAAACTTAGCAGGGCAATAAGTCAAGTCAACTCACCTTTTGGGGCCAATATATATATGTATATATATATGGGTATCAATATATGGGCAATAAATTTAGGCACTGCGTCGCTGCTGCTGGTGCTGGTGCTGCTGCTGCTGCTGCTCAGTCATCATTAGCATAGCTGGAAAAGAGAAGGGAGAACGATTAGAGTGAGTGAGTGAGCGGCATTGGTATGCAGCTGGGGTAAAAAAACACTGAAAGAACTCAACTGAGAACTGAGAAATCGTGCAAGAGACGCGTATGTCAATTAAAAGCCTATAACAACAAACAAACAAACAAACAACTACAACATCGGGCAACAAACACCACGAATATGGGCAAAAGGCAAATGCTGAAACCCAGCTTGGCTTCCAGCTACACGCAATACACACAAATCGTTGCACGCAACATGCTAAACAATGCCACAGCGACATGCGCCCCCCTGGTGGCAGCAGGCCGTACGGGGAGTGTCGAATGAAGCAATTTTGGTCACACAAGTCACGTGCAACCAAATGGCAGAAACGACAAAACACGCGTTTCAATACTGCCGCACATGAAGTCCAAGTCGAAACGTTTTCGGTTAGCATTTGTATTTTGAATTGGGTGCGGAATTGCTTTGCATTGGATTCCATATGCATCGCGGCTCAGACACACACACAGTGGAAACTGAGGGAAACGTTTCCATGGAAGTGCATTTACACACCTCGACGAATTGGCTGTGGTCGGTCGGTCGGTTAACTTTCAGAATAGACACAGCTTTGTTTAACTGCCGCAAATTGGGTATGATAAAGTTAACATGCAGGTCAAGTGAAGTGGGATTCGTGGGCCGAGTACGAAGAAATGGTAGAAATGTGTAACAAACTTTTCCCATTTTTCCTGGAAAAATAAGGGAACCCTGGTACTGAAGGGAACGAGAATAAAGCAAGACACATACGTGAAGTGTACAGCTCAAAAGATTGATACAAACTTCTTCAATTAGTTAGGGCAAACTTAAGTGAGTAAGTATTTATAAATATAATATTGAAGATTATCAGCTATACAAACTTGAGTGTGATATACAAGTAAGTGAAGAGCAATATACCTATCAAAAGTTGGTTGAAGTTGCTGTGGGACAATTTGAAGAGGGGTTCATAATTCGATTCAACGAGAGAATTGCAGAAAGACCATAATCTGCAATAACAATCAAGTAATTTGGCCTGCCATTGGCAAATATGGGAAACAATTTTGCAATTGAAAATATTAGCAGTGAGCTCAAATAGCTAATTAGCCTGCAGGCCTAAGCCTCATCAAAGTGCAATTACTTTTTACACATTTCTCTCTCATTGTGAGCGTGTGCAATTGAAAACAATTAGCAAAGTGTGCAGGAGATTTAGAGCGGAATGTCATAGCCCTAATTGCCCAAGCATACAGTCGCAGCAACGAGGCGCAAATTTAATGCCGGAGACATGCAA